AAGACGCCCGTGCATTCGTATCGAGCGGGTAGACCTACCCGCGCGGGTAGGTAACACCACACTACCTATTTCTGCTGTCAGCAGAAATGCGTTTTACCCTGAAGACTAGGGCAACCGTTGTACTGTGAAAGAATTAATGTCTTAACGTGGGTATCGTTTGGTCAGCCTCCTCCCAGCGTTAAGCAAATTATGCGAACGGCTATCACGCAAACGCCTCTGAGACTTCATCACCTTGAAAGCTATCCTGATCTAGGAACAGTTTGAATTCCGCGCGAAATACTCGTGCATTCAGCAAGTGCACCGCCTCACAGAGCACGTCTTAGTAGGGCTAAACACACGAAGACCTGTCCCCACCGAAGGTCTCTTCTTCGATATCGCGTTGGTATTCGACTAAGTCTGGCTGGCACATCGGCCTCAGATAGCCTCGTGCTCATCATACGAAACTTCTTGTGAGAAATCGCTCTTTCCCGCGACAATTCTCAACTGGAGTCCCGTAAGGCTCCGTTCTCTTCCTATTAGTATTTAGCCTATATATTAACGATATATCTTGATCACCGGTGGCACAGTTAGCCATTTTCGCGAATGACTCTACTACTATAATTATCTACTACTCGAGTAAGAAAATGTCGTTCATCCACAGTAAGCTCCAGATTCCGGCCATTAATTTAGGACAGTGGTTACGTAAGTGGCGCATCGACATTAACCCCACAAAAAGCACAGTCGAGCTATTTTCGCAAGGAGTCGCTTTCCCTACACCACTGCTAGTATCTCATCCCGAATTGGGGTTGGTAACTCCATTCCCGTGATCAAAATCGTTGACCAGCTCATATCGTGGCCCTCGAAGGCCAAGTACCTAGGCGTAGACAGAGGGATGACATTCGGTCCCCACATTAATTCGATACGCCACCGAGTCACGTTCCGGTTCGGTCGACTCTGCCCTGTGATCTGCAAGCGAAGAAAATTGTCTCCTCGTAACAAAGTGACACTTTATAAAATTTGCATAACCTATGCAAGTGTAGTATGTATAATGTATGTTCGCTCACGTGGCCCGCACGCTCATAAACTCTCTCCAGATCATTCAGTCCCTTTCTGCAAGATAGCCGTCGGAGCATCGTGGTTCCTTCACAACGATCTATATCTAGAACCGATACGTAAGTATCTTGAGGTAGCGTCAGAGAGCTACTTCGATAAAGCGGCCCTCCACGGTAACCTATTTATCGTGGCTGCCGCTGATTACTTATTCGACCCAGGCGACGGGGCAACGCAAAGCCGTCGTCACCTGAAACTGTCTACTCTCGGTACTTTTAGGCCCCTCAAGCACCGATCAGCGTCCTCGTCGAACTTGTCGATTACCACTAAGAGTTCAACGAGCAAACTAAGCCATAGACACGGCTCACTGACTTTTTCGCTGGATCTTTTCAATGGGTCGCGAATCCGATCCGGTGGTAGATTCTGCGGAGCACTGCTAATGGTAGGGCTAGTGCTAGCAAATTCTTTCAGGTAGAGCTCGTGAGCTCACCAGTCCGTTCTGGCGTAGCTGAAACAGCCCCTTAAGGTACCAGCGAATAGGTAGGAAAAAAATTAAGTGGGTGGCGGCATTTACGTTGTTGATGTCTATGAACTTTGGTAACCACTTAACATTAGATGGGCGATGTGCTCGTCTCCTTACATATGCAATGAAAAATAGGCTATCCGGAAATTATTACTACTGCATCTCGGGAAAATTAAGCAACATGGAGGTAGACAAGTGAGCCCACAAAACTCCATATCGTTAGTCATTTTGTAGATTACCTGTTCATCCGTAAAACTAATCAAAATAAGAGCGTGTATTTAAATTTACATTCAACTTACGGACAACTTACAATGATTCCCACTAGGCAACAAATAAAATACGAAGACAACTTCGAACACAGTGATGAAAATTAACTGTCAACTTGTGTTCCATCTAACCGTGAATTTATTCCTTTGTTACATTCGCAATTAATATTTGCCTTTATGCTGCCCCGTACGAAAAGGAATCGTTCAATGCAAAGTTAATTTGTTTCGTATAACTCACGAGCGCCGTGGCGGTTTCGGTCGCTTTATTTAAAAGTCGATTTACGTCCAGAGAAACAGAACCGCACAATCGCAAACCGAGCTCGTATGAAAGCCGCTTGATGCCGGCTACACACCAAACGAACGCTAACGAACAAATGCTTCTCGATTTCGACATATACATGACTTATTTATATTTTAGTGCATTAAAGAATGAATGAATGAATGAATGATTTATTTTATTTCAGACAGCAAGTCCATATGTGTACATAGTATCATTGAAACATACTTAAAATTAACAACACCAATCAAATAAAAAAGATACATTTATTAAAAATAATCATCAGTTGAATACATTTCAAATATTCCATTCAACTGATACTTACTTCGGACCAACCATTATTATTATTTAGTCCGCAAGTGAACCATTGTACAATGGTTTAAGTACAAAACGAAATACATAACATTATTATATTTACTTTAAAATGGGCTCGCTATTGACTATGAGATTGTGACACTGCTTCACCGAGGGCTGTCAATCTGCGTTTGCCATCACTTAATTCAACATTTAAGTATGAACCGTATATTCATTGCATTCGTATCTGCTCTAGTTGGATATGCAATCGAGGCGAAGCCCTCACTTTCGTTTAAATCTCAAGTTTTGTTACAGTGTGTTTAATGCGAGTTGTTTAACGTTCTCGATAGCGTAAAAGTTAACTCAGTAAATTTGGATGTAGTTGGGACAGCGTCCCTAGCGGCAAACGTTCCAACGCTACACAAATTTGAATTAACATTTACGCTATTGAAAACGTTTAAAAACTCGCACTAAGCACAATGATGATCCTATGGCATAACGAAACCAGTTATAATCACGGATATTATTCTTATTTTTAAATTAGAAGAAAGCATACAATACTCTTTATATTTAGTTTACATTTTAATAAACCGGTCGCATTTCACAGAATAATATAAGTCGTACGATAGAATACCCAGGCGACTCTTACTTTGTAAGAATGTTAAAGTGCAAAAGGTTACGAGCTTATGTATAAAACAGTGTACGCGATGTTGTTTATAGCATAGCTTTATACATACTAAATAAACAAGTTACCACTTAACAACGGCTCTTGAATGATTTACACTCAAGTAAGGCCGTAGCGACAAGCATCTGAATGTCATTTAACTTTGTCGTAGTCGGTCGGCTCACTATGCATAATCCAAACTTGATGTTGGGTCGACGGCGCCATGCGTAATTCGCTCTAACACTGGACGCCCTACAAATGTGTTATCGCTCGATTTGCCAGTTAAGAAATGCGTTAACGTCTTGAGACTGCGTCAAATCGTTAACTTAATTTGACGTGCTCTATTCAATTGGTCTAATGGGTTATATTTAGTCTACGTGTTCAATTATATTGAATTTAAAAAATGCTATGATGATTATCAATCAGTGTCTCTAGCTTGATGATAAATTATACTGCACTGCTTTTGATAATATATCAAAAACTTTTAACTTTACTGCATGTCGCTCAGAATTCGCTTAAAGTTTACTAACTGCCTAAATCAGAAGCCATCCGGTAGCAAATTGCAGTCTATCAACTCTTTTGATGCGGTTCTCAACTACGTCAGTTAACTTTTAAAAGTTTCGGTGACATGTTAAAAGCTATTGCAGAGTTTTAACTCATATCAATACACGCATACTATAACTCCACCGCGATATTGAGTATTATAATATTTATCGTAGGTGCATTCTTCAAATATATATTTTGTTTATTAAATTTAAATTTATTTAAATCAATTATATTTTGTTTCTATATATAGTAATATTTATGCATAAATAGATTATTTTATATATATCCGCTGGATGCAGGCAGCGCAGTACCGGTCTTTGTGGCGAGGCTTGGGGGAGTCCTATGTCCAGAAGTGGACGTCCATGTGCTGAAAAAAATATATATTTTTTTGCAAAAAAAAAAGGAATCAAATTTAACTTGATTACTCTATAAATAGGAGAAAAGAGACGCGTTAAGTTTCGATAAATTAATAAAGATACTTTTTATTTATGCTACCATTGTATCAATTAGCTAAAATAAGTTGAAAATGTAAAGATATTATCGGACGTCTCATCTGGGTGGGCTTCGCACGGTCCCGCTGACCGTCGGGCGATTGCACACGAAATTATTTAATGACACTACATGTTTAATTATTCACTGATACCGTTTGAGTGTTTAACGATGTGTAAACATGTCATTGAACGTGTAACGAATTGAACTCGTAATCTAAAGTCATACGTCTTGTTCGACTGATTGATTCATCAGCTCGCAACAATGTGTATACTTGTATGAATTTAAATACACCTATATTTTCTTTTTGCTTGTAATAATAAAACGAATGGTTGGTATTTACTGGTGGTAGGACCTCTTGTGAGTCCGCACGGGTAGGTACTACCACCCTGCCTATTTCTGCCGTGAAGCAGTAATGCGTTTTGGTTTGAAGGGTGGGGCAGCCGTTGCAACTATACTTGAGACCTTAGAACTTATATCTCAAGGTGGGTGGCGCATTTACGTTATAGATGTCTATGGACTCCAGTAACCACTAACACCAGGTGGGCTGTGAGCTCGTCCACCCATCTAAGTAATAAAAAAATAAATAAACATATAATCATCAAATGCATCTTGGATCGAATCCTTGGCAGTAGTAGGCTGCAGCATGGCTTTATCGACGTCAATGACAGACGGTAAAGCATGACATTTACCATCCGCTGGGCAACTGTTTATTTACTTATTTATTGCTCAAGTGGGTGAACGAGCTCACGGCCCACCTGGTGTTAGGTGTTAGTAACAGGATCCCATAGACATCTACAACTTAAATGCCGCCACCTACCTTGAGATATAAGTTCTAAGGTCTCAGTTTAGTTACAACGGCAAATGTGTATTCATTTATTCTCGTTATTGTATTTTTTTCTTTGTTCACAGCTCAATGTATAGCGCCTCTCGGAATGGAGAGCGGCCTGATTGCCGACAAGGACGTCACTGCTAGTTCTTGTTATAACGATGGCAACGTCGCGCCGCAGAACGGAAGGTATGACAATCTGTCTACATATTAATATTAACTAGTACATGTGTGAATATGTGTATATTAATTAGTATACATACGTAGTAGTACCTATATATATTTCAGGGTTCGCGCTTACATAATGTAAACTCTCTCTATAATGTTGGGAAAGGTTAATAGGCAACGACATTAAGCCTTGTTGTATAGATATATAATAGTACTAAAATTATAAGTCATAACGGATAAACTAATTTAATGTTGAAACTGTTGAGACTATGATTTTTATGTGACTATTGTAGTTTTGTATTTGAACAAGATTTTCCTTTGTAGTATTGACATTGCAAAGGTTGCATAACCTTTTGCGATCTTAATAGTGCTAGAAAGGATATATATATATATAGCGAAATTATTTATTTTACTTCACAATCACTTCGTACACGTCTTTTTCAAACTATTCTAATTTTGAACTACCCCCTCTAACCTTAAACTACTATCTCTTTGTGAATCTAATAAAATGTTGCCATTGCAACAGGCACAAAATAAATAAATAAAAAACAAACTGAAAAAAACGTAATAAAATAACACTCCCCACACGGCCATCCTGGTCATTCATCTGACCCAGATGAACTATTTTCATTCACGACCCAAGGCTTCATTAGGTCAGCCGAGCTGGTAGTATTAATAGGACCTTCACCGTCGCCGACTTTTCTTACAGCGTACCGGTCATGGTGCTTCTTAGCCACTACTTCGTAAGGCCCCAGAAATTTTGGATACAGCTTACTTCCCTGGGTGAATTGAGTTCGCTTGATAGCAACCAAGTCACCTACTTCGTAATTTATAGCCTTTTTCCTTTTTATATTGTAGCTTTTGACATTCTCCTCTTGTATCTTCTTGATAGATTCTTTAGCTTTAGTTCTTAGTTCATTTCGTTTCGCACTGTAATTTTGTATTTCCTCTTCTCCTATCAGCTTCATAATATCTTCATTTTTGTCTTTCATCTTTGTCCCAAAAAGAAGTTCAAAAGGTGTCATACCAATACTTCTCTGGTACGTGCTATTCAAACAGCGTTGTACTCCTGAAATTCGTCTATACCACTTCGTCGGATCATCAGCACTAAGCTTACTTAAGACGCTTATGATTACTTGGTGGATTCTCTCGACTTGGCCATTTCCTCGTGGCTGTCCAGTAGTAATAGTGTAATGAGTAATACCTTCCTCTTTACAGTAGTCCTGAAAATTTGTCGATGTAAATGCGGCGTTACGATCTGAAATAATCTTTTGTGGTGAGCCGAATGTTTGTTGTTGGATTCTTAACTTATCTAACGTCTCTTCTGTGGACAAAGTTTTCGTAGGGTAGATCCAGGTGAATTTAGTAAATCCATCCACGACAGTTAGGATGTGCTTATAATTTTTATGGGTTGATGTCAGTGGACCGAGGTGATCAATATGATATGTCGCCAGCGGAACATCTCCTTTATCCAACGGATGTAAGTATCCCTCTTTCTTTCCTTTCTTATGCGAAATAAGAATACATTCCACACAATTATCTATAATCTTTCTAATCTTTTCTTTCAGGTTCTCTATGTAGTATTCTCTATTCACAAGTTCTTCCGTCTTAATTATCCCAAAATGTCCATGATCGTGTTTCTTTCTTATGATTTCATATTGCATTTTCTTTGGAACTACAATAAGTCTCGTACCATCTTTTTCCTTACAAAGTATTCCTCTTTCTATAAGATAATCTTGATAGGGTCCTTTTTCTAACATTTTCTTTAAAAGGTTAGTATGCGGATCATCGTCTTGTGCTTTCTTAAGTCGGGCTGCTGTTTCCGTTAATATCATACAAATCGGGTTTCTGCTTAACGCGTCAGCATGTTTAAGTCTTGTTCCAGGCCTATGCTCTATGTCGTAATTGTACTCTTCGAGAAGTAGGGCCCAGCGCGCAACACGCGGAGGTAGATCTTTCTTTTGTAACGTCTTAGTCAGAGCAGAGCAATCTGTGATAATTTTAAATCGAATTCCTAAAAGATATACGCGGAATTTCTTAACAGCTTCAGCAATTGCTAATATCTCCAGGTAATAACTATGATAGTTTCTTTCGATAGATGTCGTCTTTTTGCTCATGTAATAGATCGGATGCATTTGATTGTCTTTTGGGCTCTTTTGTAATAAAACAGCTCCATAGCCTTCTACGCTCGCGTCTGTATGTAGCTCCGTTACCAAATCAGGATCATAGATACGCAGAACGGGCGAACTGCACAGTATGTTTTTTAACTCATTAAAAGCCTTCTCACACTCATCACTAAAATAAAATTCAGCGTTTTTCTTTAGTAGATCGGTGAGTGGCCTTGCAATTATCGAGTAATTCTTAATAAATTTTCTAAAGTACCCGGACAGTCCTAGAAATGACTGTAGGGACTTTAAATTGTTAGGTGTCTTAAATTTTGAAACTGCTGCAATCTTTTCTTTTGAAGGTCTTACTTCGTTATCCTGAATGATGTAGCCTAAGTACTCTATTTCTCTCCTCATGAATAAACATTTGCTCCAGTTAAACATTAATCCGTATTCTTCAGCTCTCTTAAAAACTGTTAATAATTTATCCAGCCCTTCATCTTGTGTTTTACTTGGTATTGCTAGATCATCCAAATATGCTAGAACGGTGCCATCCGAAATGAGGTCTTGAAAAATGTAATTGACGTATCTTTGGAACACCGATGGTGCCGTACACAACCCAAACGGCATTTTTATAAACTCGTATTGCCCTCGAGGCGTTACAAAGGCTGTGTACTTTATACTGTCGCGGTGAACGTTCACGTGTAGAAATCCATTCTTTAAGTCTAATGTCGTAAAAACTTTTGCACCCTTCAGTCTGTCTATCTGATCTTCGATAAGCGGCAATGGGAATCGATCTCTTATAATTTTCTTATTTAATCTTCTGTAGTCTATACAAAGTCGGTAGGTCCCATTCTTCTTTTTGGCTAGTACAATAGGACTTGAGTAATCTGATTTGCTTGGTCGTATAATATTTTGGTCTAACCACTCTTTTATTTGTTCGTCAACTACTTTCATTTCCAGCGGTGATAGTCGCCGTGGACTCTGGTGAATTGGGTCTTCGTCGGTAAGTACTATTTTCATTTCAATATTTGTTTCTTTCTTTGGTTCGTTAGGTTTATATTCTTCTATCAACTTTGTTAACTTATTTTCAATTTCTTTGTTTTCACAATCTTTAAGATCAGTAACACTCTCTTCAGCCGATATAGTTAATTGTAAAATCTTCTCAAGAAAAATGCCATCTGTTGTAAAATTCACTTCAAAGTCCTTCAGGATAGGATTCCCTAATATAACTTTGACAGGTATAGCATCATCTTTGACTACATGAAATTTAATGTCAGCGTAGTAATCATCAATTGTAAGTATGGCATTCAAAACTCCTTCAGTACGTAGTTCTTTTCCAGCAATTCCAGTTAAATTAATTGTGAAATCACTAGTATAGCTTGACTTGTCTCTTAGAATGTTCTCAACTTCAGATATTTTGATCAAATTAACGTCACTTCCAGTATCGATTAAGGCTGTCACTTCAACATCATTAATCTTTATCTTCTTGTATGGAGCTCTAGCTTCTCTTATGTCTTCTGTAACATTTACTTTCCCTTCTGTACTATTCATTTTTATACTTGTATTATTTTGAATATTTAAAGTATTCTTAGGTTTGTTTGTACACTCTGGTCCCTTATGGCCAAATTCATTACATCGGAAGCATTTGATACCCTTCTTACAAGCTGGTGCTTGATGATCTAAGTCACCACAGTTAAAGCATCGCTTCCCGTTGTAGTTTCTTCGAATTTGAGGACGTTGAGGAGTGGTATTAGACGTAGTGGGGCGGTTTGATATTTTCTTCCTCATATCACTGTAGTCCTTCAATTTCTTACGGAAATCTTTAAGGTTTGATGCACCATACAACATAGATTTGTTAGACTCACTGTCTCGGATGCCATCGATAACATATTCTATAAGAGCATCGTCTTCAATATTACCGTGAAGTGCACACTCTTTCATGTGGAGAAAATACTGCTGGTACGTCTCATCACTTTTCATTTTTCGTGAACTGAGATTCTTATGTATGGCAGCACTATTTAGTTTCGGACCAAATTCTTCTTCGAGTTCGTTCTTTAGCTTTGCCCAATCTTTCACACCTCCTAGTGACCGTAAAAATAACTTGGCAGTTCCACGAAGCAGGCGTTTTGCATAGATAAGTTTTTCGGTTTCCGTCCAGTTCATCAGTTGTGCCGTATCCTCCAATTCGTCAAACCATAATAATATAGGGTAAGTATCATCGCCACTAAAAGTTGTTAATGACTCCTCCAAATCACGGAACGGGATATAAGGTGGGTCATTTCGAGATTCGCGATCTTCTGCTTCTTTAATATCCTTCTTCGGCGGCATCTTTAATGGGTAAGTACCTAAGTTTTGAATTTTCGAAATAAATCGATGTTCTTGTGTTTTTAACCTTCTTATAAAATGTTCTTCGTAAATTTTTTGTTAAGTCGTAATGTCAAGTCGTATGTGCAACGTCTGATATTCGTTAAGTCTTAATATTCGCAAAATCTTCTTATCATCATAATAACTTTCTTCGTAAAACGCGAATAATCGTTACTCGTAAAGTGCAGTAATCGTAAAACTTGCCGTCTTGAACATCATATTTTCATTTCATCTTCGTATATTTATTCGTAAAAATATTAATTTATAATGACGTAATAAACAGTGTCCCGAAGCATTTTTTCAAATATGCATTTCAAACATCGGATCATAATCCGCATCCCGAAGCATTCGGTGCAGTGATTGTATCGGTATATGTTGTACTACTACTACCTTCGTTTTATTCTAGCTCGGGTTGGTAAAACAAATTCAGAATGACTTGCCGGTTGCTTGTATTTTGTTGATAATATCTTCGTAAATCTTCATAGTTCTTCCACACTGATACTTTTCTCAATCCCGGACGAGCCCCCAAAATAGTTGTGGGATCGTTCATAAGTAAAAGTGGGATGAATATAGCGAAATTATTTATTTTACTTCACAATCACTTCGTACACGTCTTTTTCAAACTATTCTAATTTTGAACTACCCCCTCTAACCTTAAACTACTATCTCTTTGTGAATCTAATAAAATGTTGCCATTGCAACAGGCACAAAATAAATAAATAAAAAACAAACTGAAAAAAACGTAATAAAATAACACTCCCCACATATATATATCAAAACAATACAACCCGAGACAATAAATTAAACTTTTATTAACAAAATACCAAGATACATCATTTTTTATAGTATCTGACTTCTTTGTAATTGCCGAATAAAAATTTACACGCATTAAATAAGCTCAAGCTATAATGGTCTCATGTGTTATGAGTATCGGATTGTCACATTCGAGACGATTATAAGTAATATCTAGACTATCGCGGCGATTAATCACGATATACATATGAGTTCGCTCTTTTTAAAATATGAATAGTTCCATTGAATTATCGCATAGCACATCGCATTCTCATTTCCAATTCATTACTCTGCGATCCATACTACTCGGATATGTATATACCCTGTTATTTCTCGCCGCAATTCACCGAATTATGGAATGGCATTCCTGTCTCGGTCATATCATTTTGCAACCGAGAATGTAACAAGACACAGACTCCAGTTTCGCGGTGGCTATATACTATGTCGCAGGCTTGTCTAACATCGTCCGAAATAAGAATAAATGATTTATCCCGCACATAGAATCTCTCCATCGCTGTACATCACTTCTATTATTAACAGACGGTCCATGGCGTAAGCTTAGCCCACATTAATAATAGTTTAACGACCCCAATCCAAGGTCTTACGACGCAAACATTTTTTAGCAAACTCGATATGTTAGACACGATACTAACTATACCTTAGCGATTAAAATTATAAAAAAATATACTTTTTATAAGTTTAGAAGTGTTTTTTTGTTTTTGTCGAAGTACAATATTAATTTTCACAGCCAAAATAAAGTGTTAAATTCGAATGAAATATGTTCATTAAAATAAAAGTTCAAATTGTATAATAAAAAATAGTAGGTAATTTTGATTGTGCATAATCACCACATAATAGTGTGCATGTATTAATTATATCTAGCATCGAAAATTAATCGTTTCCTTTAAAATTTGGACATCATAATAATCTATGGTCATTGTTGATAAAGGGATGCTATTGAAATGTGCGGTTACACAGATTATAAACCAGCATTCTTGATGCGTGCATCTGAAGCGTCTCGTCCACGCGTCCAATTCGTCGCGTTGAATGTCTGCCATCTCGGAATTCGATTGGCTCGGAATTGTACCAAGTGATGTCAGATGTGCGACATACTCTATCCCACTATAAATCCGTCTTGCTAACGATGCAAATGATTAGAAGTCTTAGTCTGCCTCAATTTAAATTTCAGATTGCCACTCCGTATAATATAACGTTCGTCTTTGATCAGAAAGCGTAGCTCTTCCTTTGACAGCGACAAGGAGACCAGTGCCCACTATTTGTAACAAAATACACGGAACTCTCCTACTTATTCACTGATATGTTGATTCACTCGGCTCTTCTAATTGATCATTAAATTTGTAATCGTTACGAATGAATTCAGAAAACAAGATTGATACTTTTTTGCGTGTAGAAGTGAAATTTATGATTGAAGGAAAAAAGCATTATCTATATATATATAAAAATGAATTGCTGTTCGTTAGTCTCGCTATAACTCGAGAACGCCTGAATCGATTTGACTAATTTTGGTCTTGAATTATTTGTGGAAGTCCAGAGAATGTTTAAAAGGTGAATAAATATGAAAATGCTCGGAATTATATAAAAACAAACAATTTCGTTTTTTCTTTTACTGTGTCCCCCGTCGGGCGGATTACTTTGTTTGTTTTAAGTTTATTTTATTTTTAATTTAGGTATTTTATTTATCAATTGAGGCACTACGAAGTCTACGGGGTCAGCTAGTTTATTAAACATATTCTGTTATTTGTTGTTTTTGGTTTGCAGATAAACTCACGGCCTTCCTAGTGAAGCGTACTTACCAGAATTAAATAATAATACACAATGTATTATCATTTTTTTTCTTATTTTCAATATTAGCTCTAGAACCTGTTGTGTCATTAAAATTAGAAACGTACACTATTTAACCGTAAGAAGCTTTGCGTTAAGTTATAGGGTAAAACCAACATTGACGATTACGTATTGTGATATGTTGATTGAAGCTCGGAACTAATGATCAGTCGAGAGTGGCCGCTTGGACTGTACATTGCACTACAGGCCGGTGACACCAGATAAATGTGAGCGTTAATAACAACACTACGAGTACACGGTTATTAACTTTGATTGATATATGTAAGGCGGACGCGCTTTGATCACAATGCGTCTAATAATTGTATCTACATTCGTGATGACTATTTAATATGGTTCTAAATAGAATAAGTCATGAATTTTTTCCTAAAAATGAAATTTCTGACACAAAATATTGCAACGTCGGTGCTAACAGTAATTAAGTTAGTCGAGTAGCTCAGTACAAGAATTCACAAGCGCCTCAAGAGTACTCTCTTTGTCAGTGACCCCTTTGTAGCTCTCTTCTTTATTTTGTATGAAATGAAATTATTATCTTACTATTATTTTAAAAAGCCATATTGTAAACGTACTTGGTACATGCTTCATTTCTCTAAGCTAATATTGCTGTTTCAGACAAACTGTAGCACAAATAAATTAATTAAAAACGATATCGTTCAGAAATGAAGACGAATTTACAAATTCTTAAATGATCGCCGTAAAACTAGTTAACGTCTAAAGTATCGTATTAATTATTGTAAAACGACCACCCTCGCCATGTCTGTTTCTTTTCCCACGGCAACACGTATTTTGTGTCGCCGTAAAGCTATTTCGCAAATTAATATAGAGGTAAATTATATACCAGTAGCCGGTTGCAAAAGTCCTTTTGTATATTTCATATTGGTCAGAACTAGGATAGTTTTTGAATACTACTTACGACTTCGTAAGCACTTAGGGAGTCTGCCCTTTGACCGTTCGGAGAGTTAACACAAGAATGTAATTAGTAATTTCAACAATACGAAGGTTTTGTTCACAAGAAATTTCGTTTTGTTCTAATTGGGAATTCACTCTCTGATTTACACATAACACTAAACATTGAAGTAGAATGTAATATCTGAAACTTTTGACCTAACAATAAATTGTAAAAGAAAGTAGTTTTAATCCTGAAATGTGTGTTTATATTCTCCCATTGTGGCTCTTACTCTAAGCACACATTTTAGTGCCTTTTTATAACACACAATGTAACATAACAATAATAAACATATAATAAAAATGAAGTCTATTACGTAGTAACACGATTTAAATTGATTTGAATTGTTTATATAATCTGTATACATATATAAAAATGAATTGCTGTTCGTTAGTCTCGCTAAAACTCGAGAACGGCTGGACTGATTTAGCTAATTTTGGTCTTGAATTATTTGTGGAAGACCAAAGAAGGTTTAAAAGGTAGATAAATATGAAAATGCTCGGAATTAAATAAAAGTAACAATTTTGTTTTTCCTTTGGTGTGTCCCCCATCGGACGTATTCCGTTTGTTTGTTTTAAGTTTATTTTATACAAAATATTAGGTCTTTAATTTATCGATTAAGGTACTAAGAAGTCTGCCGGGTCAGCTAGTGCTTTATAAAATCGAACTCTTAACAGTTGGTCTTCGTTTTGTCAGGCTAAATCAAGACATCAAAGGAGGTGCATGGTGTCCTAGATCCCAAATCACGACTGAATCCACAGAGTGGCTAGAAATTGACCTTCACACTGTACACGTAATCACCGGTGCAGGCACCCAGGGTCGTTTCGGTAACGGCCAAGGTCAAGAGTACGCGGAGGCCTACGTACTTGAATATTGGCGCCCTAAACTTGGGAAATGGGTACGATACAGGAGCTTAGACGGCCAAGAGGTCAGTATCAATTTTCCATTAGAAACATTTTGTATAACATTTATCAAAGTTTATTTTCGCAAAAAATGAAAAATAATATTAATTTTAGAAACTGACCGGTAATACTAACACATACTTGGAAAAGAAGAATCATCTAGAGCCGCCGATCTGGGCGTCCAAAGTTCGTTTCATTCCTTACAGTTCGCATAGACGGACTGTTTGTATGAGAGTTGAATTGTATGGATGCTATTGGAGCGGTAAGTGTAAACTATAAATTACTTCTGTTTTTCTATAATCCGTAATTTATTTATTTAAGGATTACCAACAGGGCTTACAGTAAGACATAAAATAACATTGACATGTATAGAGCAATTGATAACTGCAACTCTAATTAGAGGCAATCACATCATGCATTACATTAATATATCAATAGAGATTTAACAATACTATTAATAATAATAAAAAATTAAAAACAAAAGAAAGACAACAAGGACAGTAATACCCGAGTACTCAGACCAAGGCTGAGGCTGAGGTTCAACAACAACTTTTTATAATTTTGTTCCTGAATATTGGAAGGGAATCGCCAAATATGTCAAGGTTTCAACTTTTCTGAATAGATTATTATAAAGGTTAGTTAGACGAGGAGCAGGTGAGTGCTTGCCTAGATTGGTTCTGCTAAAGCGGGTGCTGAAAAGAGCAACGGGGCGACGAGGTAACCTGGATGGCACCTTCAAAGAGAATTTATTGAGAATGGATTGGGAGTCGACAGCACCGCTCATAACTTGATGTAAAAAACACAAGCCTAACATATATTAATGACAAACTTAAACACATTCGCAGAAGTAATGTCGCTTTAGATTAAAAAAAGGAAGGTATACAACAAGGTGCACAACAAGTGAATTTTTCTTTTAACTTCTGGAACATTTAGAACGAATTTTAGATAAGGTGTCGTGCGATGCCAGACTTTAATAACAGGTTGTGGTGGGTTCTGTATGTTCACGCGACGAACACGTCACGCGCAAGCTGATTATAACGACGTATCTCATACCTTGTTTAAGTAAATCACATACTACAAATGAATTATGACTACGGCTCGTCTACGCCTACTAGAAGTCTTTACTATGCTTAATTACTGGTCTCTGTAATATCACGATCATGTTTACGATCTACAAGCCCATTCGCGGTCTTCCATAAAGCATCTAATCAACTATCGTGCTTTTAAGTAACACGGCAACACGAATCAATGTTGCTATTTCTAAATGGCGAAAAGGACTTTCCGTTACCGGACATGGCGCCAGCTAGTAAGCAAAAACAGGCAAATTGCATGAGCTAATACCATGTACGTGTATTAATGCCGTAATTTGCTTCTTTCTGTATGTTTTACGTAATAGCTAATTTTTTTTTTTGTTTTGCCGTTCGCCCTTTTTATGCACTAGCACAGTTTAAATGTTTCAAAGAAAACTACGAAATTGCCTTTGTTGTTTTGCTTTTAGACATTGAACACGAAAGCTAAGGTTTTCGAACTGTAATTTTAGGTAAGCTTCTCATAGTACGTTACCAAAGAAGTATTTTCTAGAATTGATGTATTTTTTTGCTGTAAACGGACCGGTGACGATCGAAATGAAATGTAAAATAGATTTTGGTGACATTACACCACAGCATGAATGTACCCGGTCACCGTCTTTGTCGAACCTGTCGTTGCGGCGAAGGGCTCGACGAGCAAATTAACCCATAGACACAACCCACTGTGTTTCTCACCGGATCTTCTCAGTGGGTCGCGTTTCCGATCTGGTAGTAGATTCTGCGAAGCACTGCTCTTGGTAGAGCCAGTGTTAGTAAAACTCCGGTTTGAGCCCCGTGAGCTCACCTATATTAGGACGACGCTAAAATAGCCTCTCAAGGCTATCAGCATAGTATAAAAAAAAATGTACATACATATTTGAGACACGAGAATCAAGTCTCAGTTGCATTATGTAAGTGGCTATCCTGTACTACGAACCGGAACGGATCAGCACATGACTGCTTAACGGCCCCATCTGTATGTAGTTCAAGCAATCGCGAAAATGAGATTTATTCCTTTTATTTCAATAGATTTATGTCTGATTACATCTCGTGTTTGCTACGTACAATAAGTAATCGTGTAAAGCAAACTCTCGTATCCCGGTACAGGCGCATTGAAACATCTCCGCTTGTGTAAATAGGTATTCTAGCCAGGTGCCCGCTGAACATGCGTGTTGAATATAAATAATATGCAATGTCATTGAATCATAGCCGGTGCAGTGTTGGACGTTTGACGAGAAAATATTGCAGTTCTTAAATTACTATTATTGCGCGTATATAAATTCTTTTTGGACACATACATTCTTTGCAACTGTCAATCTGCTGTACGATCTGAATTTTAAGCGATCGTTGATAGGTTTATGGGTCTGCTTTACGATAAGATTGATCATGATTGTTTTACGCCTTGACTTTACTTACTGTCGTTTCGTTAAGTCATTGAACCGGCCGTTCTGGTCGAGCGATTAATTGGGCTAAGAACTAACTAACTATTCTACGTACGCAGCTTAGACGGGTTGCTCACACTAAAAAACCCGATTAAAACGTCTTCAAAATATACATACAAATTTGTGTTTTTCAAACAGATTATCTTTTATAATATACGAAATTATAATTATCTCGTTGATTCATTTCTAAGCAATTGTATAAAAGTAAAATTTTACTTTAAATTTCAATACACTTAACGACTATTTGAGTATAGTAGATACAATAAAAAAACAGGCGCCGCAACACTGTGTCTCTAAATTTTAATTTATAATTTGTTTGCATGTACACAACACTTTCTCGGAATTCTCACAGCAAACGGCTTCCAGTAAACGATCTTAACTATTTTGTATTCCCTAGACATTATTTTTGTGGCACGATGTAACCGTGGCATTGCTAAGTGGATGCATGCTTTTTACATTCGCCAACGATATTTTTATTGCGTGTGACATTTGGTATGTAAGGTTCTGTCGTTGTATGATTTAAAAATTTACTTAAAACCACTGGAGTTTACGTGTTTTTCGAATTCACACCCAAATACATACAAATCATTAGTAAAGCTATCGTTTTAGACTCGTGCTTTTATTTTTCACCTGTTATATTTTGGTTAAATTTACATTATAATATCCGTGGTGCATTAATTACTATCTCTGGAGGCTAGTCCGCAAACTGATATAATAATATGTATATGTCTAAAGTGCAGAGCTATAGTTGTGGAAGCTAAAACCAGCTTGACTTAATTGAAACCTTGTAACCGATCGGGTGCTACTGTAGCTTGGGTAATAGGCGCCGATAACATCTATGTTGTTTAGCTAACATCATATAATTGCCAATATATGCATACATTGATTCGTACGTGTCTCTAAAGTAAATATTTTACAAAATAATCAGGATCATTACAGAATAATGAGACTTTTTTAGTTGGAAACAATTTTGAAGAAAAATTAATTTGCGTAATTACTGGTGGTAGGACCTCTTGTGAGTCCGCGTGGGTGAGTACCACCACCCTGCCTATTCTACCGAGGAGCAGTAATCCGTTTTGGTTCGAAGGGTGGGGCAGCCGTTGTAACTATACTTGAGACCTTAGAACTTATATCTCAAGGTGGGTGGCGCATTTTACGTTGTGGACGTCTATGGGCTCCAGTAACTACTTAACACCAGGTGGGCTGAGAGCTCGTCCACCCATCTAAGCAATAAAAAAAATAGTTTTTTTTTTTTTATGTTACGCTTTCTCTAATAATTTGTTCTCAGTGGGAGTGGTTTCGTATTCGATGCCTAAAGGCGATAGACGTAGTAATGGAATCGAACTCACGGACATGATCTACGACGGTCAGTGGGGCGAGGAGCTCCGCGGGGGCTTGGGCCAACTGGTGGACGGTCAGTTCGGAAGCGACGACATCCGAGAAGCCTCTAAGAACTCCGCCTGGGTCGGCTGGAGAAACGACTCGAGACCAGATCCCCCGGTCATCATATTCGAATTCGACAAAGTCCGCGAGTTCAGCGCTGTACATATATTTTGTAATAATAAGTTCATGAGGGATGTACTAGTACGTATTCGTAAGCATTACTATCGCAACGTGTTTGTTGAAAATACGGATCATCCTACAAAGCATGCTCTTTTTAGGTGTTCTCTGAAGCAATTATATCATTTTCGATCGGCGGTCGTCACTTTCAAGACGAACCTATCCACTATACATACGTTCAAGACAAGATCTTCGAGAACGCTCGTAACGTGAGCATTAAACTACACCATAGAATAGGGAAGTGGGTGCGGATCGAACTTCAGTTTGCCGCGAGGTGGATACTTGTTAGCGAGATCGTTTTTGATTCAGGTCTGTATTTTTATCAATAGAGACAGCTCATTTTTTAAATGTCACGTAAACTCTTGTAAAAACGTGACGTGTGACGTTATTCAAAGTTAATATAAACTAACAATAGGTTATAAACTTGTTATGATTAGCCACATATGACGTCATGCGCTGTTATTTGTTTTTTATTTGCTTCGATTTATAATAAATAAAATTCCATTAGAAGTATTGGTTTATTAAATTTAAATAAATAATTAATATACAATAAAATAGTGGCACTTATAATTGATAACATTTAAAACTGCTTGTATCTAAAACGGGATAGCAGTATCGGTGTACGACTATTCTATATAATTTTCGGTTAACAAATGTCTACTAGAATATACCATTTTCATAGGGAATTATAATATCGTTTCAATTAAATCATTTTGCAGACGTAGCACAAGGCAATTACACACCGGAAAGTATGAAGCCACCGGTCAGTAAGGATAAAACGAAAGTGATTTCAAGTAAAGAGGTACCTATTTCGACGGCCCATCAGGAAGATCCGCTGTACGTCGCGATTGTCGTGGGAGTGTTGACCGCTCTCGTCATACTGTTGGCCGTTGCGATATTCCTTATAATACACCGACACAAACATAGGAAGTGTTTCGCTTCTCCGCTTGCGAAGTCGGCTGTCTCGCAGAAACGGGCCGTTGAGAGCTACAGTGGGTGCGGTACGTCTATGCTACCCGAGAACAAAATGATCTTAGACTGCGGTCTCGATGTCAAGTCAGACGAGTACCAGGAGCCCTATCAGGCTCTCAAATGCGCTCCCTACTTTAGTTACAGCACGGTCCTGCTCGAGATGAAAGATTTTAAGGACTCCAACACCGCGCTCTCTGGTAAGTATAATAAATTTATAGGGTCAATTCTTTTTATCTCACAGCAATAATTAGTTGAAAATACAATAGCAATAGTAGATTGTTATACTATAATGTAATAATTAGATTTCATGTTAGAGAGAGAGCGCACTATAGTAAAATATGACGTCAGAAGTTTTGCGTTACATAATATAAACTATACTGACACTTTGCGGGAAAGAGACAACATCTTTTCAATTCACGTAATATGAAACGCTTCATTCGTATACCTCAAGACGTTTACAGCTTAAATTGTTTCATCAATGTTATAAATAATATCAATAAATATCAAAAAGAATGTAATCCACCAGATAATTACTGTAGTCACCCGTTTATTACTAAGAGTATCACGAGCTGTAAACATGATTGATCAATATAATTAGACCCCTGACGACTACATTGTTAATTTTAAGTGCATTGCAAGTCCATGATTCTAGACGTGCGCTTGATAGCACTTCGCATATATCGTGCACTATATCCGCCAGGAAATCTAACTAATTGTTCATCCTCCTCTAACGATTGTATTAAAGAAAGAGAGAGCGAGAAAGAGGGAGATAGAATGTTTTTACGGATACACATGAATCACATTATGACATAAAAACAATTTATTTTTAACTTGTATGTACGTTAAATCTGAGCAGACAGTTCGAACTACGATTATGCGGTACCAGAATTGAGTTCGGCTCCGTTGTTAACGAAGCGGATGGGAGAAACGCTTTCCCAGCAAGCTACCGAGCTTGTTGGCGAGCCGATGGACACGTTACCTGACCTCGGAACGAGACGATCCCTCAATCCTTCCGTACGATCCAAACAAAGCACGAGAGTAAGTCTTGACCTTTCTACGTAATATTAAGTTATAGTTTTGCGTCGATATTTTCATCTGGTCATGTTGTCATTAAACAACAAATTTATGTTTAAGTTTGTATAGTGTGTGCGTTTTGGTAAAATGAATTGCTTTATTGAATTGGAAACGTCTTTGGCACCGTTGGGATTTGAAGCTAGATGAAACGAAAAAATGACACCCGAAAGAGACAAATATACGTATTTAGCCTGCGAAAGAATGAGATATAATAATTCTGAAGGTATCACTGCTATTACGTGTCAACTGCACGTATGTTTTTTGCAGCGATGAATGCATGAATTTAGTATAAAAGTATGTGGATGAGTCCATAGACACCACGTATGCCGCCACCTTGATTATATTTAAATCATAAATTAATTAAACACTGTCACCTCGTTGAGACCATCGTGAAATGTATAAAATAAAATCATATTTTTTTTTTATAAGAGTAGTTAGTATTCGCCCAATGATCGAAAATCGACCACAATCACTGATGTTTCAAGATTTAGATTCGTTTTATATATTTTATTTAATAATTTAATTTTTTCTTATATTTTTTTCCTGTGCCTATGTATAAAAACGTGTTCCTATTTTATTGCTGATAACGCAAAATTCGTTTAAGAGTTACTAAATAAAACAAAAGAAAAACTGCCTTTGTATATTTAAATATATGTAGATGTATTAATGTTGACTGCACCAATTGCTATATGATTAAGTTCATTTCATTGTTCCATCATTATTTCAGTCGCCGAGTCAACAAGAAATATTGTTGGATCTGAAGAGACGCCTCGAAACTACTAACGTTATTGAGTTCCCGAGGCACAGACTCCGGATGATCTCTAAGTTAGCCGAGGGCGCCTTCGGAACCGTACGTACTTAGCGTCAAACAATTAAATATGGTCATAACAAAAATGATATCATTGTATATTTATAAATAAATAAACTTTAGAAATCGGTGTAAGGGGTGATTGTCATAATGTAACGCAGCTGTGGTAGAAAGAGACGGCATAACATAACGTTTCGTAACGACGTCGCTAATGTAAGGCGGCTGTGTTAGAAAGAGATGGCGAGCTGTTCACACTACGCTTTTCGTTGCATTCACATTTCAAAATGTTCATTGCTTAATCATTACGCGTTTAGCTTCAAGATAATCGTAACAAAAATGGAGTTAATATTCTTAAATGCCCAAATAATACTACTAGAATTTGTATTGTCTATAAAAATATAATATTAATCACACCTATTGTGATAAAGTGTGAAAATACAACATTTGTTCCGCTACCTCACCTCAAGTCTCAATTATATTGTATAATTGTTGTCTCATGCCTCAAACATGGTTGTGGTACTTACCGATACGAAATCACAACATGATCTATCTACCAGCAGTAATTACACAAAGCTATAAAGTTAGTGTATTTGATTTTTATTAAATTAACTTGATGAATGATGTGTTTATCATCGTGTTTTTCGAAAATAAGGTAAAAGGTACGTATTTTCTTTAAAAAAAAAATGTTCCTACCTCAGAACTTAAACCGATATTGGCGTATAAAAAGCACTATTTTCAGTATTGCCGAAAGCTATACAAATGGTCATAAAGCTATTTGTGTTCACTTTTCCTCAGTTGGCATCCACTGAATAATACATTCACATTTGTTATACTATGGTCAGTGATTGTATAAAATAACCTCTTACACAGGAACACATTCAATAAAATAAAAAATCCATTGCATTTATCTCATTTTTGACTGCATGCAATGGAAAACAATTCGAAAAATATGGTTACATTGCGTGTTTATGAAAAAATGAATACTGCAATAAAAAATCGTCAAGTATTTTTGTTTTGCAATATCGATAGCAGCTTATGTCAGCTTTGTCGAAAATCGTTATGTGTCGTCGTGTATTTCGATTGAAAACTGATTAATATTACGAAACGAAAACATCAGGTTTACGTAGCGGAAGCGGACGGTGTGCCTGAATATAACGGAGCCATTACGTCGGAGAAGAGATTAGTGGCCGTCAAATTCTTATGTCACGACGCCACGCTCAAGGAGAGGTATATCATGTATGAGCCATAGTTCTATAGATGTTTTTTGGTTTGTTTTGAATGCGCCGCCTATAGCTCTATCCCTAATACATCTTAAACTAGTTTCTGTATACATTACACCCTTATTATAAGTATATTGTAAAATCACACATGCATGAATTCGATGTTTAAGTTTGTGGTTAATAAAAAAAAAAATTGCATATATGGGTGGACAATCTCACAGTCCAACTGGTGTTAAGTGGTTACTGGAGCCCATAGACATCTACAAGCTAAATGCGCCACCCACCTTGAAATATGAGTTCTAAGGTCTCAGTATAGTTACAACGGCTGCCCCACCCTTCAAACCGAAACGCATTACTGCTTCACGGCAGAAATAGGCAGGGTGGTGGTACCTACCTGAAAGGTGTTTCCCGAGCGCTATGACATGTCCTTCTTCAAACGAGGCTTATAGAGAGTATTAAGCGGTAGGCAGCGGCTTGGCTCTGCCCCTGGCATTGCTGAAGTCCATGAGCGACGGTAACCACTCACCATCAGGTGGGCCGTATGCTCGTCTGCCTACAAGGGCAATAAAAAATAAAAATAAAAAAAAGTATTGATAATAAATTAAGTAATATCAATTATTTGTGTCTTACACACTATCCATTCTTCATAATGTTTTTTGTTTTTCGTAACCATGGTGAATTTAGTAAATTTATTTTTGTGTACAGTAAAAAAACCTATTAATCTTAAACGCTTTTGTAGCAAACATTACGATGTTTTTTACTACTAATACGTTCATAAAATAGTGTCGTTATTTTTTAACAATGAATTAAGTATAAAACATTTGGTATAATTCGCAATAGGACCAAACGTTGCGATTTTGTTAGTTAAAACAAAAAGTTTTGGCTTACTGCATGCATTCTGTACAGTGAATTCCTTTGTATGGGCTTAACGTGCTTTCGATGGTTGGATTAAGGTGTACGCTCGGTTCACTTCAACGAGTTTTATACACAAATTACCTGGTTTCAATATAGAAAATAGGTATTTTGGGTTGAGTCGAAACGAAAATATATATATAGTGATGCAACGCATAACAACGGAATGAAGTATCTTATTTCATTATACTTACTCAATTTGACTCTTAGTTATATAATTATATAATACCAACTTAGTAATCGAGTATCTCCCCGTGTTTTATCCAAAGTCAGTTAAAAAGTTTTTTTATTTCCATTTTCAAATCAATAACAAGGAAATGTTTTCGTGGTCAAAAACCTTCCGCCGTTTCAGATTGCAACATATAGAATAATAACGTGATGCATCTTTTTTAATGTCGGGTAATTTTTTCCCCAGAATGGATGATTTTTTTTTACTTGAACACTGTTCTGAAGTAGGTATTGTTTTTTAAATGAACTCGTAATTCATACTTGCTGATTAAATTTGTTGCGTCACTACATATCGTCTCGTGTTCGGAGCCGAGCGCTAAATTCTAATTATATTAAATCGCGTCGTGTTATTGAATCAGGGAGGAGTTCGAACGCGACGTCCGCATATTGGCCGCGTTGTCCTCGCCTCACCTCGCGAGGGTATTGGGCGCGTGTCGCTCGCCGCCCCTCGCCGTGGTGCTGGAGTACCTTGAGCTCGGGGACCTGTGTGCGTTCCTGCGGGCTGCTATTCCGCCGACGGCAGCCACGCTCCTGCACATTGCCACGCAGATAGCCGCTGGAATGCAATACCTCGAATCGCTCAATTTCGTTCACAGGGACTTAGCAGCTAGGTACCGTTTGTTGTCTTAAGCAGTATTTAACTCTAATAAACATTAAACACTAGCCGTACTCGCCCATTACATCGCCAGGGCATTTAACATTATTATTTATTGTCATTATTATTAGGGAGTCCAACACTCTTACCCTCAGACACAGCCCACTGAGTTTCTCGCCGGATCTTCTCAGTGGCTCGCATTTCCGATCCGGTGGTAGATTCTGCGAAGTACGGCTCTTGCTAGGGTTCGTGTTAGCAACGTTAGGTTTGAGCCCCGTGAGCCTCCTAGTTAAGGTTACGCTGATATAGCCTCTCAAGGCTCACAGCTTAGGTAGGAAAAAAAAACAAAAAAAAAACACTCATATAAATAATAGCCTATCCATTAAGTACATGTATTTTCTACATGGATACCAAGTTTCAACTCAATCGAATTCATGGTTCAGTAGTTATAACGGAATATCCGTAAAAATCACTGTAGATTTATATATTAGTATATAGATTACATTAATAATTTAATAGATTTGAAGTTTTAACAAGTATGTATAGGTCAATTTACTAGCTTATCAGACTTAGGTGACGAGGCAAAGCAAAGCCGCCGTCGCCCGAAATATGTCTTGTCGGATCCCCCGGATTCACTCTCGGTGCTTTCAAGACCCCAAGCACCGGTCACAGTCCTTGACCCTAACCCACAGACACAGCCCACTGAGTTTCTCGCCGGATCTTCTCAATGGGTCGCGATTCCGATCCGGTAGTAGACATTGGACATTGAGAATAGGACATTGAGAATTTTGTACATTTTTTGCCACGTACCATCCGGCTTTGGAATGAGCTCCCCTCCACGGTGTTATTCGAGCGCTATGACATGTTCTTCTTCAAACGAGGCTTGTGGAGAGTATTAAGCAGTAGGCAGCGGCTTGGCTCTGCCCCTGGCATTGCTGACGTCCATGAACGGCGGTAACTACTTACCATCAGGTAGGCCGTGTGCTAGTCTGCCTGCTCGGCTAATAAAAAAAAAGAAAACTAATTGAATATGCAATTTCGAAAAGGGCACATCTCTGAAAACGTAAAATGTTCAAAAAATGAAAAAAAAAACTGATTATTTTCTAAAGCAGTGTAAAATTTAAAATATTAACTTTTAAGATATATTTTAGTGTTAATTAGCAAATGAAAATTACTGGAATTATTATAAAATGGGTGTAGGTAGGTAAACCTCAAAAGTACATGTATATGAAAAAACGTATTTGACAAAATATGCGACATGTGCCCTTTTCGAAATTGCATATTCAATTATTCTTTAATTACTTTCCAGGAATTGTCTGATCGGGAAGGGTTATCAAATTAAAATAAGCGATTTCGGCACCGACAACGAGGCGTACACTTGCGACTATTATAAAGTGGACGGTCGCGTACCGCTGCCTCTGCGCTGGGCGGCCTGGGAGTCGGTGCTCCGGGGAAAGTACACGACCAAGAGCGACGTGTGGGCGTTCGCGGTCACGCTGCACGAGATATACTCGCTCTGCCGACGGCGCCCCTACGAGCACCTAACCGACTGCGAGGTACGTACGAGACGATTGACTGACGACGCACCTTTGAAAACGTTTTGGGTACAGTGACATTAAAATTAATGAGGAATTGCTGGTGGTAGGACCTCTTGTGAGTCCGCACGGGTATCACCGCCACGCCTATTTCCGCCGTGAAGCAGTAATGCGTTGTACTGTAAAAACTGAGATCTGGAATTCGTATATCAAGGTATCAGTGTTAGCAACTCTCCCGGTTTGAGGCCCGTGAGCTCACCTACACGCTAAGGCGAAACCGAAATAGCCTCTCAAGGCTATCGGCATAGGTTAGAAAAAAAAACCTAAATTTTTAGCTGTCATTTGATTATTTAAATATCGTTCGTTGAGCGTTGATTCGATGTCTATATATTATTATAGTTATTAGGAAACGGTAATTTTTAACTGTTACAGGTTTTGGATAATCTGTCGCACTTACAAGCGGACGACGGTATGTTCGAGTGCGTCGACCGCGCCCCCGGCTGTCCCCGGGACCTCTACGAGCTGATGCTGGAATGCTGGCGGAGAGACGAACTGGACCGGCCCACGTTCGGTGAGATCCATCTCTTCCTGCAGCGCAAGAGTCTCAACTACGCGACCACGTGATCCAGGCGCGTCCACTGCCCGACTCTGTTCCCGGGCGCGGAATAGCGATCGCGTCGGAGCGACGGTCGGGACCCGGGATGCAGATGCTACGCGATCGACGAACACGTCGCGGAGACGAGGTTCTGAGCTCGCGGGCGACCTTTGAACTTCTTTGTGTGTTTGTGTGTGTGCTCGATGCGCTTCTTTCGTTTTTGACTCTGGCACGGTTTGTGCATTGGCCAGTGTCAAGTAATAAGATTTTTATATAATTCGCCTTTTTAAGTATTTACATTTTATCAATAATAAAAATCAATTGGTATGAAATTAAATGAGATGAGATGATACGGGATGAAATATAATCTCAGTGAAATGGTCGTCATTTTTACTGAGACTTTTTCAATGGACTTTTTGGGAGGATCCCGAGATGTTACGTTCAGCGGCTTTGTTTCACTTTCCCACATTTGTGCACTTTCACAGATACTAAACAGTTAATAAACCACTGTTATTACACATTTAAACCTGAAGAAACACTAAATAGACAAAATAAAACAAATCACACAACTTCACTCCTCGCGTTCCCGCCAAAAAGTCCCGCTCGTTGCGTTTGCGAACAATCAATGTACAATAGTCGACCAGTGTCGTGGTCGTTTCAATCGATACGTCTGCAACATTATTATATCGATTTAATAGGGTATTTGATATTTTTAAAAAAAAGTGCTTCGTTTTGATAAATTCAGAAATTATTTGGACTATGAATATTATCGATTCTTAATTTAAATAAAATAATCGGTTAAATTCACATAATAATATTCCGGTTTCGTTGAATAAAAATCCCGATCTGATTCAGATTCGTTCAGACAGATGTCACGTAATCCAAAAGTTTCTCTAAAAGGGTAATGCTTTATAAATGTAATTACTGTATCTACTAATATTTGAGTTTAAATTAACGTTTGTAATCAAATACCTTATCAAATATGATATGTACGTTATTATTATAAATAAATTAAACTGTGAAAAGTTAGTTTATGTGTTTGTAAGTTTTTATGGAGAGTGGAGACGAGTGTGATGCTCTATCCCTTTCCCGCAAAGCGACATTCATGCTATAGTTAACAACATGATGTTTTTGTTTAACTAATAAATTCATCATAAATTTTTAAGAGACAATAATTAATCATTCGACTTGCCTATTGGAGCCGCACTGTTTTTAGCTTTGCGTTTGCGATTGAAACGTTGCAATGTTTTTAATTAACAATGTAATTGTGAAGCCAAAGCTAGTTTATATCAAAGAAGTTCAAAGTGTGTCTGTGTGTATATATATTAAAAAAAATGCATCTCGAAATGTTTCTCGATATCGCTCCGTTAGTCGCTAAGTGATATATATATTTGCTCCGGTACGAATAGTGATTAGAACTGTAACATTGGTTACGTTGTTTCCCGATAACCCTCATATTTCATACGGAGGCGTTCGTCTTATTTTGTACTTAATGCTTAGATCGCTTTACACCCTCCGATCTCCTTCACGCACGGCTTCCGACAATTTTTTTTTTTTATAACCATCGATACGTTTTCGTGTGAAATATAATATTATTACGTAAATATATATAAATAAACAATAATTACGTATGTACGCTGTAATCTGTTCGTGGTGATCGAAAACGTTACTTATGAAATAAAGTCAGTGCCCTAGTTAGTATAAATCTTATATATATTATAATATATATGTATGTATAAATTTATTTTGTTAGTCGTAAAGTTTTATCGTATAAAAGTTTTTATTAATACTTTTATAGCTTTTTATAATTCGTTTGTCTTCTAAATGTATTAATTTTGATTATCATAATAATAATAAAGCTAATTTGACATCTGTTTTATTAACTGAATCTGTGAAGATACATACAAACCAATATTTTGTCATTACAGTTGACTATTATGATATGAACAGTGGTTACATGTTATTGATTGAAGTAATGTTTTTACGTATTTAACGAGAGGAATTCGCTCAATTATATAAAGAGATTAGATAAAATAATATTAACACATACGATGCTTTAAAATAAATAAATAAAGTTGTGAATTGAATTTCAGCGTTGCAATATAGTACAATAAATAATAATATATATGTAAAAAAAGGTATTTTAGAATATGCTACGAACAGATTACAAAAAAAAAACTTATAGTTGATATATTATTATACATAATACATAAAGAATAGTTTTAAGAATATAACTACGGTAACCTTTATCGCTGAGTTAGAGTGACTTCGAAATTGATATCTTTAAAATTTTTTGGGTTCCTTTTCGTTTTAAACTGTTGCAATTTGCGTAAATATATTCTGAGTTTTTCGATAATTTATACTAAAAAAAGTAGATTGACACGACCGTTGCTTGGTGTCGTATATATATCGAGGAGTGAAAGGAGGAGGCTTAAGCGACATTTTGCATAATATGTCACATTTATCTTTATAATTAAAGGTGTATTTTATTTGATATTTAACAGTTCGATGTTTTTGATTGATCTTCAATTACTACAATTAAATTTGCCCTATTCAAATAGCTGAAAATGTTTTTTTTTCTTTGTCATTTTGATATTTTTTCCTAATTTTAAACTTTAAATTGCTCTGCTGTAACGTTACAAAAATGTCGCTTAAACCAAATAAGCTTTCACCGCTTGATATAAAATAAATATCGATATCCGTATACGGAACCGTATTTACAACAATAAGTATGTTTTTCGTATTGATTAACTTCTTACTTCAGATGTCGATTTTGTATTATTTTGATACATAATTTCGCGATCACTGTAATTCAGCGAAAATGGCCGCTCAGCAAAAGCCACGAGGGTAAAACATTGATTAAAATTAATTATAAAAAAAATTAATAAATAGGTACTGAACGCGTTTTATAATTTTTGAACATTAGCCCGTAAGCGAATTTTCGGTTTCATGCTGAGCTTTAGTTGTAACACTGTTTTATGAAGCTAATGAAAAAGCTGTAAAAAAAAAACTGCTACAATCTGATGCTAAATTTGCTGTGTATGTATGTCGCAGGGCTGTGTTGCTATCATAGATGGGTCTGTTTTGAGGCCGTGAGGTCTAAACCATTATTACATTGAAAACTATACTTCACTACATAGTATAAAACAAAGTCGCTTTCTCTGTCCCTATATCCCTATGTATGCTTAAATCTTTAAAACTACGCAACGGATTTTGATGCGTTTTTTTTTTAATAGATAGTGATTGAAGAGGAAGGTTTATATGTATAATAACATCCATTAAATAGTGGAGAAATCAATAATAAATTACAGTTTCCGAAGCGAAGCGAGGGCGGGTCGCTAGTATGCTATATTTCAAACAGGAATGTATGATTGCTCTGCGTCCGATGTAGGAAATAGGCCAACGCAAACTTAACGCGCCCTATATCATTTTTGAATATGTAATTACATAATCTCACTAGTGATTTCAATACGCGAATTTCTGTAATTTCTGACATCAGGCCATGTCACAGGTGTCGGGATTGGAATATCATTGGAAAAATTAAGAGACGATATGAAATAATGGGTTACTGTTAATTTCGTTTGAAAAATATTTTCATTTTCCTGAGGTAGCAGGTGCGAAGTGAATGGCATGTCCTGTCGTATACGACTTTATTGTTTTTTTAATGACCATAATAACACCCTACATATCGTTCTGCAGTAGGTTGCAGCTTGGCTGATCCGTGAGTGACAATGGCTAACCATCGTATATGTCATATAGTCGTCTATCTCCAATGGCAATATGCCATATTATCATTCAAATACATTACATAATGAATAATAGTATTTTATTAGTGAAAAGTCCAATGATACTAAATACTAAGTAAAAAAAAGCGTAAAGTATTTGAAATAATATCAAACCTACCCATGTTTTTAAAGAATAATGATATAATTTCTTTTAAAAACTTGATTCATAAATGACCATCTACTTATTTATTTAGTCCAGTGGGTAGGTAGAGATAAATAAAAACAGCCTTATCTCAGTCTAATCGATAATTAAAATGCTTAAATATAGATAATAAACTGACCGGCTATAACAAATTAACGTCCTTAATGATCGCCGGCATGCAATTCAAATCCTTGTCCACCACAATGTTTCCACACACGTTAAAGTATTTCCTACAAATGGGCAATTGATGGTGGATAAGTATTTAGCGATAATGCAGATAGCTACTAGTGATATAGTTGCCAATACGTGTGATGTACCAAAAAAATCCTGAATCGCCCAGCTACCTCAGCAAGCAAAGTCTCCGTGAAACTTACGCGCCTATAGAAATTATTTTAGCTGTTGTTTTCAAAACACATTTAGTAATTATATAACAATATTTAAAATTAAATAGGATTATCTGAGATACTAATGTTTTATGCTTATTATTTCCCATTGTTTCATAATATATTTCTTCCTTTACCGATGCTATGTCGTAGTGTGAGCATTCCCGATCCTGCGGACAGAATGGAAAGCAGTCGACGTCGCCCAAAACATTTCATTTCGGACCCTCCCGATCCACTAACGGTGCTTTTAGGTACGTCAAGCACCGGTCATAAATTAGCCCACAGACACAGCCCATTGAGTTTCGCGCCGGTTCTTCTCAGTGGGTCGCGTTTCCGATCCGGTGATAGATTCTGCGAAGAACGGCTCTTGCTAGGGTTCGTGTTAGCATCGTCGTCAGGTTTGAGCCCCGTGAGTTCACCTACTTGTTAAGGTTACGCTGAAATAGTCTCTCAAAGCTCTCAGCATAGGCAGGAGGGAAAAAAAATAGTGTGAGCTCGCATCGTTCCTGTTTGAAATGTAGGGTGGGTAGCTTATGTAGAAATGCAATTAGTGCTTCGTCTTCTTTATTCGAAGCAGAGAACGTTCACAGAGGGACGTCAAATTAAATAATGCAATCCTTTAGCATCTATAGGTATAGTGAGAGAAGATTTTCCTTCGTAATTTTTTGGAAAAGTTCGGATTTATCGTGCTCTCTCAAATAGCTTCAGTACAATGAAATTATTATTTTTTTAAGGGATTTTATGACCTGGTAACTGAGACCTTCAGGTCAAGTCTTACTTTAATTTTAATGAAAACTTTTTTATATGAAAAATGATATTATGAAATGAAGTGACGCTGATTAATATGAAACATGGCATGAAACGAAATGAGATGAGAACAGATGATATATGGCATGAAATATAATCTCAGTAACATGGTGGTCATTTACTGAGACTTTTGGACTTTTTGGAGGATCCCAAGAAGTTACGTTAAGCGGCTTTGTTTCATTTTCCCACATTTGCGCACTTTCACAGATACTAAACAGTTAATAAACCACTGTTATTAAACATTTAAACCTGAAGAAACCCTAAATAGACAAAATAAAACAAATCCCACAACTTCACTCCTCGCGTTCCCGCCAAAAAGTCCAATGAAATTATTCATTTTGACATTTGACACTAAACAATAAGGTTCCTTAATAATACATATGAAAATGTCACTCATTTAATACGATCATTCATTGACAGTTCGAGTGTCATCGTATTCCGTTAAGAGATATTCCGTTAAGATCGAGTGTTCCCGTAGGAAAATAATTTCTCACTACATCTATAGCGATATTAAAATACGACATTGACAATGGCCCTGCGATATGTACACGTCAAATACTTACTGAAAATCGATGTTTTATGCTCATAGCTTTCTCTTCACGTGTGTCAGCTAAATTAATAGACATAAGCAAACTGTTCTTCCCTATTGTAAATATTATTAGAAAGATTCCACGTGTTACATCCGATGACGTATGCAGTATGTGTACGTAAAACTAAAAAAATGATATCGTTTTTATTATAAGGACTACATCCGGTAATACATAATATATCTAAGAATATATTTTATAGTTTATTTTAGACGTTGTATGACTTCTTACCTTTTTTGTTAGTTCAAGTTGAAAATTTCACTTCTAAGTTATTCACTTTCATCTAAACACTTACCGATATCATTTTATTATTGCAATCGTTTATTATGAAAACAAAAGTGTAAACCGTGCAAAAATATCGTGAGACCAAATCAAATATAGTGGCTAAGTTTTAATAAAATAATAGAAAAGTCCTATTTTATCTTACATTACATACAAGCAATATTATACTGCCTTACAGAATCCCGCATAGCATAAATGGAATTATATAATGTAGGTTTTTATTAGAAATAAATAAAGACTTTGTCTAGACTAAGTAATAACAGTTTCACGATGTTATGTAGTTAAAGTTATTTTTAAAACAACAAAAATATGAATATTACTTTGTGACAAATCTAAATACATAATTATAAATTTAGTTAATCCTAATATTACAGATTTTGAAGTGCAGTATCAAAAGTCATTGGCTTATGTTTTTCAAAATAGATCAAATAACTTTACATAAAATACTATAATAATCGCTCGAGATAAATGATATAATTTTTATTATCGAATACTAAGAAATAGGCCTACCAGTGTACAACGAAATTCAATAAGTTTTTACACATGTTAACAATTATTACAAATAGTTTAAAGGAATATATAAACAGAAATCCCTTTTTTAACGTGGCTTAAAAGGCGTGAACCACGACAGTTACCAGTAAACAAAGTATTGGAATTAAAAGAGTATACGGTAGATAATAATCGTTCAACAAAACCATTGATTATTTCGAGACCCCGCAATATAAGCGAACAAAACTCCAGAGTAACTTCGCTGCCTGAATCTCGATCGGCTGACTTTGAACACCACTCATTCTTTATTCCTGTCTTTGATTCAATATGACCGTCGGCAATCACCCTCACTAAAACAGCTGAGTTATATTTCTTCGTTTTTGAGTACTTTTCCAATACATTTTTTGTTATTCGAAAAAGAAAGAAAAATTAAGATTTACAACCTTTTGTACTTAGAATAATAAAGAATATAATATAGTTAATACTTAATAGTTTTATAATTTCAGAGTTAGTCGAAATATGGACTTTGTTACGAAAATAGTAATAAAGTATTTGAATCTATTTTCTGTAGTTTTTCGTGTTATTATAGGCGAAACGTGCAGCGTGCAGGTTATACTGACAATATTTTATTGCGAATGTAATATTATATTATTTAATATGAGAGTTGCAATTTTTCTATATACAGTTGCACTTATATTCAGATACATACAGTGACCATACATCGTGTTGAAATGAATATAAATTATCATTACTAATATTAGATGCACTATGGAGTTTATAAATGATACAATCTATTCTTGTAAATTAATGTTTTTTATTAATAAATTTTTAAAGAAGCACGTATTTTTTTGAAAGTCACTGCAACGATTAATATTCTCGAAAAATTACATTGTAAACATCTAATCTATTTATTGATTTAAAATATTATTAATTGTGTGTGCAGTGTATGTGTCGGAATGAAGGCTTTATTAGTGTCATAAAAAAATCTCTTTAAATCAAAACTAACGGCTTAATGAGAAGAGCCTAATATAAATTGTAAGCACTATTTAGATTTAAGTACATATTTCTGTTTGAGAAGTAGATTGTTACACGGTAGTATTCACTTTTAAAATGTTACAGTCGATTTAGAACCACTTAGGATGTTAAACGTAACATTTGGTTAAATCGGTTCTAATTGTCTGTACACGATGTAATGACGATGAAAGCAGTGTCTACTGTGCGAGATGGTACCCGCATTACACAGCACTAGTAGACTGATTATATTATTACGATAGATTCGCGAATAGATTAGTTCTTGCACAGTGGACACATGCTTAATCACAGCGTAAAAAACTTAGTTTAATCTGTAGCCGTTGTAATTCAATGACGGTCAATCGATACGCACACAAATATATTTCTACCAATAAAGCTATTGAACAGTTAATTAATAATAATTTTACTAATGTATTATAACAAATCTCACAAACTATACACGAATAGTGAAGTGAATGTTTTTACGTTATCATTATATTAAAGATGTAATAGATGTTTATACTTTCAGAGGTTAACACTTAGCTGAGGTGCTACATTTTAATTCATAAATATTCTATAGGTATAATGTGTTCTTTACGCTGTGATTGTAGCACACGCGGAACCAATATTAAGATTATGTAAACAAAGATATCTTATTATTTTTGTGTAAGTAGGACAAGTATTATATGCATTTAAATTTCGAGATTCTAGCCTTATTTTCTTGTTTAAATACAGTAAGATAGCGATTAGTTAAGGAAAATGTAGTTTTGTAATGAATCCTCATTCCCTTGTGCTGCTGTATAATTAGTTTGTAATCTTAGGTGTTAATATTAATAATGTACAATAAAACACCCTTTCTGCCTTAGTGAAGCTATTCTTACCTTTAATGCTAAGAACGAGATATCGATTAGAATCAAATTATACCTTGTAAATACGAATTCTTATGCTGATCTTATATATCAAGCACTATGGAAAACTTAAATTCCTAACAATGGTCCAAACTTCAATCGCTTTTTTATTTATACTATACAATTATACATTTTCTACATAGATAAAGGAATAATTATTATAAAATTTAGTCTATAGATCTTATGCTTTAATTTTTATTTCATAGATGTAAAACATGTATTTGTCAAAATGCTTAATTTTCATAAAGTTTTATGAGAAAGGTCGATACCAAATGCAGTATTTTTATTTTATATTCTACAACTTTGTACCCAAATAAAAGCAATAATCTATTTAAATGGTTTTCATTTAATTTTATTACACACTTACCTTAGTTTGTATCAACGTAGGAAATATAAACCCATTGACGAATTTTAAATTAAAAAGTAGCAATGCGTATTTAAAAAAAAAACCGTAAATTGAATTGAGTTTATTTACAAACATACGTGTTATCGGTACACTCTTAACATTCACTTCCTGAGTTTAAATCAACATCTAATTAGAAGAGCGTTCTGTAGCTGCAGAGTTTACTTGGAGCTCGAACAATGAGTTTGTCGAGTCAAATTGTTATTTGCATTTACTTAACCGAAATCGCTTTTGCTGTTAACGACAAACCAGTCGTTATTGATCAAGAGGATTCGAGGGTTGACGATGAAGATACTAGTCGCACAGAGTCGTGGGATCGTAAGAAAGGAATAGATATTACTTATATGCCATTCATTAAAAAGCGTAATGTTGCGACCGAGAAGCATACTGAATATGAAGATGAAAAAACAACAACGGAGAAAACGAAACCACTTCACCCAAATGAACTGCTCTTTCCCTTGATCTACAAACAGAGTCATGTCAATAGCATGTTCAAGTTCGGCGAGAATTGGTACACTTGGTCGACCGAGAAAAGAACGGATGGATCTAAAGCGACCAATTATTACATTTGCTACGATGAGCCAAAGCGTTGCGACGATATCGGTTGGGTGAGTTTATCGATTCGTTTACGAAAATGTCTTATTCAATTATTTTAATGAATAATTAATGAAAACTGTGTTCGGGAGCTACCATTAGGAATATTTACAATATTTACAATATTACAATTAGGAAATAGGAATTTACTGGTGGTAGGACCTCTTGTGAATCCGCACGGGTAAATACCACCGCCCCGCCTATTTCTGCCGTGAAGCAGTAATGCGTTTCGGTTTGAAGGGTGGGGCAGCCGTTGTAACTATACTGAGACCTTAGAACTTATATCTCAAGGTGTGTGATGCGTTTACGTTGTAGATGTCTATGGGTTCCAGTAACCACTTAACACCAGGTGGGCTGTGAGCGCGTCCACACATGTAAGCAATAAAAAAAAAATAGTTTTATTTGTTTCGTAATTTGATAACTTCTAGAGGTATAATACTCATGAGCCCTTACGCTAAACTGGACAATTGTAATGCTATTGATACTTCGTCATCATGAGTATAGGTAGGTGACGGCATTCAAGTTAAGTCTATGTCTATATACGTAGCGCGCTAACTCTGAGCTCATGTTCAGATATAGAGAAAAATATAGTATATACTGAAACGGATACAACTTAATTCTTTGTAATAGGAACGTACGGATACTCTACCAAAATGCGCGTTTGAAATAGACTCTCTAACGCCCGATGATCGAGCGTGTATCAACAGTTTTGGTGAGGAGCACCATCTTCACTATGGAGGTTTTTGCGATGGGGCAGAGCAGATGAAGGTATTTGGTTTTTTTTTGTTCTACAGAACCCTATTGTAAAAAAAGCTATACATTTATTTAATTATTTATAATCTCTTCTTTTTTATTAAACCAGAACAAATATGATTGTTTTGAAGAGTCAATAACTTAATTGGTAAATCTTTTTGTTTACTCTATAGATCATTCGACTATGTGTATTTTAGGGTAGGTATGTGCTTACCTATAAAGTTCCTAAAAATATGTTCACGGGCGACTACATTAGTGGTACCACCAATACCGTCTTTACCATAAGGGCACACGGGGCCCGTGCCCAGGGCCCCCCTTCTCAGGGGGCCCCTAAGGACCGACAATTTCTCTCACACATTTATTCTCAAAACATTTTTGTCGGGCGCATTACACTTTTTTCACAAACAGTAATCTTATCAGAAGGTATTTACAATAGGAGTGGGTGATATAAATCGTATATAGATTCAATATCTATATATCGCAGCAATATCGTTGAATCCGATATCGCCCCGCACGAAATCTATATATCGATATCAGCCGATACACGATATTGCTCGATGTGATGCGCATCGCCATATCGGACCGATTCGTGAATCGAAATCTATATTTCGATATCAGCCGATACACGATATTGCTCGATGTGATGCGCATCGGCATATCGTACCGATTCGTTAATATCAGCAATATTCGTTTGGTTCGTATCGAATCGGCCAGAGTGAGTGAGCGCACGATAGGGATATCATGTGATGAATGAAACAGAAACAGGCATTATCCATACAATTGTAAACCTTATATTTAAGTCCATATGTCTGTAGATTATTCTTAGCGTATCAGCAGGATACAATTAAGGAAAGAAGTTTCAACTTTCGACCCTAACTTGAATGCAGTATAGCCTATTTGCATCGTTGAATTTAATTTCACGCGCTTTGACCTTGAACTAGAATTTTTGGACAAGTGTTTATAAATACTTAAAAGTTTTTTGTGTTTGATTTTTAAAGTACACATTTTTCTATTTTTAGTTGAATCCAAATAATTGAGTTTATTTCTTGTGTTTGTATTAAACTTTTGAAATCTACACTCTTTTGGTATATTTTGTAATTTTAAATTAAGACATAAAATACTAAAAACTGAAAATAATGTAGCCAGTCCTAAGCCTGGTAAAAGCATGAAGGAAAGTTTTTTTGATATTTTTATTTTCATGTTCTTTTTGTTACTTTAAGATCATATTATAAATTGATATCAGAAAACCAACCGTATAACGTTGACTTAAATCTATATCTACTACGATATTATATCAGCGTACCGTTTCAAATCTCAAATATCATGAATCGAGAAAATCTACTAGCATCCATCAATATATAGATTCAGAAAATATATAGATTCAATATCCGATATTGATCCTCGATATATAGATACGATTCGATACGAGGCAAAACCGATATTACCCACTCCTAATTTACAAGGCACATACTACGCCATTATATCGATGACTGCGCCTATTCTTACTGTACTAATTAATAATATTTCCGAACGCATCTAAAAACCAGCAGCATTCTAATATCATTAATGACATATTATATCATACTTTATTTGATAACCTATAATAAATTTTCATACTCAGTAAAATAATGTTTATTATAATTCGCTTTTTTTACTTTCCAAAAGGACCTCAAATTCTTGTGTGCCCAAGGGCCCCAGCCTAATTTAAGACGTCCCTGGGTACCACAGTGTAGTGATTTTATTTTAGCTTTTTAATTAACTTGCATCATTAATCTAATGTCCTTCCTATATGTCCTATATCCTATGTAGTCTTTACCATTCAATGAAGATATTACGCTTATAATCTTGTGCAAAAATAATTTTCCTACTACCGGAAATAATTTTCAGGTCAGCGAAATGGTTCGGTCTTGTGGACCGCGAATACGTTCTTTGTGGCGATTTGTGCGCGTAGGTCGTCGACCTGCAAACGCGGCCAAACCGGCTGACGTAAACTCTCTCATTTGTGATGATGAAGAAGAATGTTTCGTCACTATCGAATATAGGGTAAGAAGACTTATTTAATTGAATACATAAGTTCAAAATAAATATTTCTCAATCACCATAGATGTCCAATTGGAAAGAGTTTTTTTTTTTGTGGTATCATACCTAAAGCGACGAAAATAGGTGATCAAACATGTAAGAGAAACATCTTAGAAAATCGCATAGAATATGCTTAGATAGCCTTTTGTAATTTTTGCATTCCAAAATTAACTGGATCAGACTAGCTAATAATAGCATTTGCTTGTTTTTAGTCGCGTATAGATAAGTTTTAATTAAGAAACATTTTAAATCGATAGATACATCACGATAGGATAACGTTTTCACTGCACGAGCCGACCAGGGGACAAACATTCAAAAGTGCTTTAAAACGAGAAGTGCCTAGCGAAGATGAAAACAAAGTGAGTACAACCACAGAGACCCGGCAACGATCTGTTCACAGAAGCAAGAAGATCGTTCGGGAAGAAACGAAAACGAAGAAGTTCCGGGTCAAACCTAAGCCCAAAGTTGAAGGGAAAGATAACTATAAAGTTAAGGAGCGAAATGAATCCGGATACACGAGTCGGCGAGAAGACACTAAAACAAAGAAATTCCGCGTCAGGCCCAAAACCAAAGTTGAAGGCAAAGGAGTCGTGAAAGAACGTAATGACTCCGGATATACGAGTCGTAGAATAAAAAACGAGATCACTTTCAAAGAGGACATATCCAATGATACTTCTGAATAAATACTGCATTAATCTGTTTATTAGAGTTTGTATTATTATTCCCTATGATCTTCTCGTGGAATTTACGGAAAATAACGAGTTTCCAGGGAGGTAGTGAAATAAAACAACCGAATCACCATAAATGGATTTTTAATACGTTGCACTTAGCGATTAATCGTTCACGTTTTGTTTCTTCGACTTTTTGCCCTTTATCTGCTTAGTATTGTTGGTTACGTTGTAGAACTTGTCGTAGGTCGCGTTCTGGTATTGGTAACCGGCGGTGACCTCCTTTTTCGCGACATCTATTTTTTTCGGAACATGTTCGTTTTTGTGGGCCCGCCCTACATTTTGTTCCTCTGCGTTTTCGGTGACGATTTTTCGTTTCCGTTGGGCCGTTTTCGTATCGGGCTCGGTGTCATTAGCGGCGGCGGCTTGAGGAGCGACACTCGTCTTATCGTGCTCGATGTGCGACTGCGCCTTTTGCAGCTTCTGCAGAACCTCCTCCTCGATCAGCTCGTTTCCCTGACTGATGGCCGCCACTTTGGCTTCCATTTCTTTGATATCTTTGGCTATTTCCTCCTGCGAATGACGTTCAATGTCTTTATTTTGCTAACACATAAAACGTTTGAGATCAGTCATACAAACAGAAGCTAACGCGGCACGTTTGCTTTGTATATTATTACTAGCGACCCGCCCTCGCTTCGCTTCGAAAAATATAATTTATTATTGATTTCTCCACTATTTAATGTATGTTATTATACATATAAACCTTCCTCTTCAGTCACTCTATCTATTAAAAAAAACCGCATCAAAATCCGTTGCGTAGTTTTGAAGAATTAAGCATACATAGGGATATAGGGACAGAGAAAGTGACTTTGTTTTATACTATGTAATGATTTAGAATATTAATACAAAATAACGTTCTTATTTTTAGTAAAAAAGTCCTTTAGTATTTTTGTATAATCTGATACTAGTTCGTGTGTTTTCCAAATAAGTTAAGAGAATGTTGCAGTTTTCAGATTTCGGGGCGTGCCTCAAGTCTATTTTTAAATTCATCATGTAACAATACCGCACAGGAAATGCAACAAAATATCGTAATTATATTCATTGAAACTGTTTTACGATCCTAAATAAACCTAAATGTATGTACGTACTCAATTTTAGAACAAATACAACAATATAACAAAAAAAGCTAATTTAAACTTTTGATATGCAAAAAATACATTTTTCCTTCTATATATGTATGTATGTATGTATTGGTTTGGCCAATAAATACTGTCTTCATTCATTTCTGTATTGTGTGAGTACATATTTATGCACACATAAGCAAGAATAACGCTGTTAAGTATCATTTTCTCTTAAGCTTGTCAATCGATTTTCAATTTTTGTTTAGTCGTTATTAAAGAGATTTAGTGTTCATCCATACAAATAATTGGAAACATATATTTTTTTGACGCTCACAGAAAAAAAACGTTAACATGAAAACAAAAGAGAAATGCATAAAGAGAATCCTTCAGTGATTATAGTCGAATTTGACCGAAAGTAATAGAAAGAAGAAAGAAAATACAAAATATATATAATATTAAAATTCATAATATCTTATTTATGTATGTATATATTTCTTCTGTGCGTGTGTTTGTCACTGAACTCCTCCTAAACGGCTGGACCGATTTGAATGATTTTTTTGTATGCGTTTGAGTGGCACCCTGGATGGTTTAGATTCACAAATCAGCCCGGCAGATGGCGCAGCAGTCGGTATCTAGGTTATTTATCATCATCATTATCCTGCTCTTCTCCCAGTCACCTGGGTTCGGCGCAACATGTTTTCTCCTTCCATACTCTTCTATCATATACCATTTCTTCGCTCACTCCCCTCTTACCCATATCGTGTTTCACGCAATCCATCCATTTCTTCTTAGGTCTACCTCTTCCTCTATATCCTTCCACATTCATAGTTAACACTCTCTTACCAACCTCATTTTCATTTCGTCTCATCACATGTCCATACTATCCCAAACGCGCACTCCTCAGCTTCTCTCTGTCACCGGTGCCACTTTCAGACTTCCTCTAACAAATTTATTCCGTATTCTATCCATTCTCGTTACTTCACACATCCATCGCAACATTCGCATCTCTGTTGCATGCAATCGCCTTTCATCCGCCTTTAATCTAGGTATTTTTTCTTTCCTAGAAATAATTTATATGGCAAAACAACCTTTGCCGGGCCAGCTAGTAAATATATATATAAATTTTTATTTACCTGAGCAAGAGTCCTGTAGTTCACGTATCTAGAATACGGCGGAACGAACATTTCGGCGTCAGCATTCAATGCGGATACCTAATCAGAAAATTCATTTATTTATTGATTGTTTGCAATTCAAGATACGAAATCCATTTTCCATTTGAATTTAACAGTCATATGACCCGCGACGCATCACGAATCATCTCTATTAAATATAATCCGAGTAAAACTTACAATGGTCCCTTCTGGAAACATCATTGATGCCGGTATAAAGGCCTCGACTTCGGGATTAAACTTCGAAGTAATTTTGGTGGTGACGGTTAGACAGTAATTAACTTGTTCGACATTCGACTTCTGTTCCTCGCTGGAAGATGAAAAATAAATATCGACTATAACAAGTTTTACAATTTCAACTAAACTTTAAATAATCCTTTTAAATGCTCGATAGTTTTTGTGGTTACATTCTTTTTTTTTTTAATTCTCTACAACGGTGTAGTCTTTGCTCGAACATTACAACGTAAATTGAGACAAGAGTTCGAAGTCTTTAATACTTTGCAATCGTTGCCTTAAATTAAGCAGAAAGCTATCAGCTACCCGTGCAGACTGCCAATAAACCCAACATAGTAAATGTATTCATATTAATACGCTTTTTTTAGCTTCAGACTAATGTAAGTTAGTATGTGACAGAATCTTTGAACATGATTTTGACCCCCTTCAAAACGTTGGATTAACTCGAAATTTGGCATACTTATTAAGGACCGATGACAGTTCAATATTTAAAAAAAATACTTGAGAATCGAAATTCAACTAAAAAATGAAAAATAAGTAATAGTTTTCTAAAGATATACGCTTTTATAGAAAATCCAACTAAAAATTAGAACATAAATTTTAATAAATTTGAATTAAAAATAGTGTAAGAAAAAATGATTTTATTGTAAAAAAGCGTAGTGCTTTTCAGGTTATTATCAAAATAACCCTTCTAGTCATATCTGTTCATAAAATATTTATAACTACTGATACCATGCACCCCACGCTATTATTTATTTATTTTTCTTAATCTCCAATCCAGTAGCATACCAACGTACATATTGTTATTAGTGTCACACTAAACCAGAAACATTGTAACAATCAAACCATAATTTACTGATGGTAGGACGTCTTGTAAGTCCGCGCGGGTAGGTACCAACACTCTGCCTATATCTGCCGTGAAGCAGTAATGCGTTTCGGTTTGAAGGGCGGGGAAGCCGTTGTAACTATACTGAGACCTTACAACTCATGTCTCAAGGTGGGTGGCGGCATTTACGTTGTAGATGTCTATGGGCTCCGGTAACCACTTAGCACCAAGCGAGCCACCAAGTGAGCTCATCCAACAATCTAAGCTAAAACAAAAGAATTAATTGTCAGATAAACTGATGTGTTAAGTATAAGTAAAGTGAATTATTATTCATTTACAATCTCTAATCGATTTACTTTCGAATCCCATCGATTAATTTGCTCAAAGACTTAAGTTTAATAAATACCGATATTCCGCTTCGTGATCGAGGTCGTGCATTTCATAATGTATTTGCTCTATCCCGGCGTTCATCATGTTCCTTATGCCGGACGGTATGTGGAATATCTGAGCGTCCTTCGGCAATTCGCGACACTAAAATAATAAATTACAACACATGTCAGAACATATCAGAACCATCATTGAAAGTAAACAAAAAATATTGGCTATATTACTTATGATAAAGGTATAATATTTAACCCTTTGACTGTCGTGTAGGTCACCGGTGCCCTACGCTGCGCACTGAAGATTTTTTTTAACTTCTTGAAGTGAAACTTCTTTAGAATCGTTGTGATTTCAAACTCGATGAAACGAAAAAAGAAGTCCATAGAGACACAAACACATAAATGTATAGGATTCAGCCGGCGAGAGAATGAGATAGAACAACTTAGACGTTCTCGGTCTCATCTTTGTGCGACTCTTCGTAGTATCCCCACTATCGTCTACTAAACATTGTCCATATATATGCTCTTATGTAGTGGGATAGTCACTATATCTATATCTTATTTATAAGTTTCACTTCTACCGTGTGTGACTTGCACACACATACACACACTTTTTTTTATTGCCCTTGTAGGCAGACGAGTATACGGCCCACCTGATGGTGAGTGGTTACCACCGCCCATGGACTCAGCAATGCCAGGGACAGAGCCAAGCCGCTGCTTAAAATTATGTCGATTTCTGTTACTAAGGCACCTGTCTGGATTGCGTAACTTTGCCTCATTTTGTTTGTTAACGTATCCTTTAGTATTTTAGGTCTCTTTGAAATAGATTCGATTTTCAACATCTTCAGGTTTGTCTTTCCCAGAGTCTTCTAGATATTCTGGCGCCTTAGTAAATTTTAGTAAATCGACCGAAGAGAGAAATCGACATAATTACTTCAGGGCGCCACGTAAGGCACAGGAGACCTACACAGCAGTCAAGGTGTTAATTAATAGGTATAAAATATTCATTCGTTCAAATCTAATTCTATCAACCGACCTAACCGGATTGCCAAAACTTATTAACTTTAAAAATCAAAATCGTGTATTAAAGGCAACGCGATCGCAATATAGACTAACCAGAGATTTTATTTGTATGCTCGTGACATATTTTAAGGAAATGTCAATGTTGCATGTTATTTAAAATGTGAGTACATACATTATACACGATTTGAGGAATTTATTTTATGTTTTATTCATAGTCAATGTTGCGAAAGGTTTATAACTGTATATACAGAGTATCCCAGAACTCACGTCAAGCCGAAACGGGGTGACAGAATTGATTGTAACCATCATTCAGAAAAAAAATATATCCCATGCAGTTTGGAAATTATAGGCATTTAAGAAAAACCTAGAAATTTGGTCATACTGTAACCATTTTTCGGTTATTGTGGTCAATTTTTAACAGACAAGGTGCAGTAAAATAATGTTAGGGAACGTACCCATACTACGTGACCTATTTTTTTTAGTTTTTTCGACCTCTCCCTCCCCTTGGTGATCGCTCGTAGTATATGCCAAGACCCCCCCTCTCCCCCTTTAGTTTTCACGTAGTAATTCATAATTATGATTTTTAATCAATTCACAGGCAAAAATTAAAAAAAAAAATTTGGTTCATACTCGTTTTTATTGCATAAGACTGCACGCACACTTAAATTACTAGTGAATTATGTAGTGTGAGTTTACAAAGCGCTAAACACTGCGCGCTATATCCGAATATAGGTCGAAAAAATACGAGATTTCTCTCACTAAAATCGACTACGTGACAAAAACCTGTGCCACCCCCCCTCCTCTTGTGACTGTGACTGACCGTAGTATTTTAAAGACTCCGCTCCCCCCCTAAACGGGTCACGTAGTATGGGTACGTTCCCTTATAGTAGTCTATATATCCTAGACAACTAAATATGATTTTAATTAAATTTAACATTTTCATAATAGGCGTACCGTACCGCATGGCCAATTCTGTGCCGTGAGCACGTTAACACAGTAGCGTCGTTCATTATTGCTCACAACATTGTCTATATATGTATTATTATATACATATTGTATTGTATTTATTGTATATACAATTTGTAGCCGTTCTCGCTGTTGAGACAGTAGCTCAGTAAAAAAACGCCCTGACGTATCTAATACGCATTGTTAATATGTTTTGTTATTTTTTTTATTTTTGCGTCACAATTATATCCACTAGTCTTTTCCCTTTGTTACATGCAAGATGTAACCTCATTAGTGGCGTCTGTTATAAAGGTTGATAATCACAAATTATACAAATAACATATTAAAAATACATTAAGAAATAATCAAGGTTCTTTCTGTCTTCGTATACTTTTTACCAAAACCGTATTAATCCCAACTAAATAAAAGAAGGAAAAAATCCAATTTGGAAACGTAATAAAATAACGTAAAAAAATTCGATGCAACGCAATTCAAAAAAATCAATTGAAAATACATATCGAAGCTTGAAAAGCAAAGGTGACTAAGCGACAATAACTGCTTTGTACATAAATGATAGGCAATAACCATATTCGATGCGCAAAAAAAATATATTTCTAGGTCTATTAAAATCATTTCAATCCTACAGCTACTAGCTAGATTCTACTACAGCTAGATTCGTTAAAATAAATTTTGTTTTCAGGTATTTCAACTTTAAATTAGTCTACTGTAAAGTTCACGCATTGTCGCTTAAGCCTTGTTCGGACTAGGCGAGTATTTTAGTCGAGTACCGAGTAATTTAGTAGCTAAATGTGTCTCAACACCAAAAATTTTGTCGAGTAGCTTAGTAAATAATTTAGTCAAGTCAATCCATTTTGTTCTACTTTTATCGGGTGAGTAGCTAGTAGTTTAGCCACTAAATTACTCGGTACTCGACTAAAATACTCGCCTAGTGCGAACAAGGCTTTAGAGTTACGTTTGTCTTTCAAGCGTCGATATAATATAAAACTCAAAACGGAAATCGGTTTTCACAAGCAACATTTCAACGTTCGTCCTATATAGAAATATCTATCGTTAAATTTTAAACGAATAGCGTTTATCACGTAGCTAGCCACCAATTTTTTTATGGAGATTAAAAAACTGACCGATAAGATCATACGATGGATGGTTATCACATTCTGTTTGACGAATGGCGGCATCGGATCGCAGCAAGCGTTGACGCCTTGTAGCTCGCGCGGCAGATTCTCGGAGAGCGACAGCAGCATGTGGTTCGGCAGAAGGTACCTGCGCGTTAGCAACATGAGTAATCCACGAACGCAGACAATGCTTACTTTACGGACGTAAGTATTATTAGCTCATTTATTTTCTCTAGGACAGTGGTCGGCAAACTTATTAGCCAAAGAGCCCCAAATATGCATATTAAAAAATTAAAAAAAATGGAGAGCCAAATCTGTTTGTAAATGTAGTTAGTAAACGTTTATTATAATTTTTTGAAATTCATTACAAAATTTACAGTCATTTTTAAATAAACTCATATAAAAATCAATTTTCAACAATATGCATACATATAGTTTGTGTTAACATTTCATTTTTATAATAAATGCATAAGAATTATTTAATATTAAAAAGGTATATTTTTCTTGAAATAATACATTTTTTTGTAATAAATTATTATTGCAATTCATAAAATAAATGCTATATTGTATACTGCTTCGATTAATATATAATAATCGACATCAGTCAGGTGTGCTGATATTAATGACTATTAACCGGGTTTTTCGTCCACAGCCGGATAATATTAGAAACCGGGCAAGCCCGTAGGATATTTGTGCCAGAGCCACACTCAAGAGTTCAAAGTGCCGCACTTTGCCGACCTCTGCTCTAGGACGTCCGCTATACCAGAGACCACAGAACAGCCAAGCTAGTATGAGAGGAGTGCTCGGAAAATCAACTACGGAGAAAGGTTCACCCGGATTCTGAGGGTGGGTACTTTGCAAAACTTGGAAAACGCATTACAAACGAGCGCAACGTTCCTAAACATGGATGAACTCTGCTCCGCAGTAATAGGGAAGCGTAATGATATAATCACAAACACATCCTCGAGAGAATTATTGACCTAAATGATACCCAATAATTACGATGAAGATGAATAGGGACATGTGTTTTAATAAATAAACGAAAGCCTTACGGAGAGAATACACATGCTATCAGAACAAACAATTTCCCGACCAAAAATTCGCATGCAATAGACAGCGCGTTTTTTTGTTTGTTCTGATCAATAAAAAATTTCACGGGTGAGTTAAAAATTTCATCTCCCTAAAACATGTGGCTTTACTTTTCTGATTTTGCCTATCACTTATTCATTAATAATGCAATAAAAACAGAAATCATTACGAGACTGAAGTGTTTTGGTTTAAATTATTATATGTTGATTTTCGATCTGTAATGAATTTCCCGATTGGAAGTTGAGGTGTACACCAGTGGCCCGACTCGTAAAGAAAAACCACAATTTTCTATTTGATACATATATGGATTAAATTTATCTATTGATTTTTTTCGCGCTAAAAATAAGCCTTTTAACGGCGACGTTAATTCGGTGGCAAAAATTCATCGATACAAGCTTCACGGACGGAACTTTCCGGCTACTGACATGTCTATAGCTGTGACCATTCGCACGGGCCTTTCGATGTTAATATTATTATATTTAAGTGCCTCAGCCAAGTCTTGCATGTCAAAAATGTAACGTTATGCAATCTAATTATCAGCTTTGGGCACGCCATTTAACAAATACACATTACGGCCATTGATTGGTACGTGCATGGAGATGGTATACTATTGTGCAAGCTACGGACGTGTGTATTCTCGCCTTTTCGGGTAGAAACGAAAGATAATGTCATGCAACTGTAGAACCCTAACGCCTATTGGTTAATTATTGGTGTTTTTGCTCCCACTGCGAGCCCACTCAGACATAGCCGTATTCGCTAATATTTTGGCATCAGTTTGGGGGTATGATAACCGATATTGTATTTCGAATGTGACGTCAGAGATTCACGACTTTCGTCGATCTACGCTCGAACAGTAAAAACGGGGGTGTTTTTTTTTTAATTTTTATTTTTTTTCATTCTTTTCTCCTTCACGTAATGGTTATCGTACCTTAGAATGCAGCCGCAGCAGAAGACCTTAATAGTTTATTAGAAGTAAAACTAAAAAGAAAACAAAAATTTAAAGTAAACATTTACTTGTATAAAACTTAAACGTTCAATGGATCGCTAGTTTTTTTTTTGTTGGAATTACCGATCTAAAGAATCTAGATGATGCAATGAGAAAAATAATACTGACATAATAATAAATAAGTTACTGTTTTGAGTATACTAACTTGCTTTAACGTCTTGTTACATGTCATTGTACAAATTTTCTTATTAATTTTTAGGTCCTGGAGCGTCCTGGCTTTCTCAAATCACGTCTTGGATACGTCTAGCGTAAAATGTTCGCAATTAAAAAGCCGTTAATTAATTATTTTAAATAGAGCAGAATAGTTTTTTTTTTGGTGTTGTATTTACATTATTTTAAATTCATTGTAGTGTAAACACGGAATAGAATGCAATGCAATTTTAAGAACACAGTTATGTACGTAGTTTTTCGTTTCATTATTGTGTTAAGACTTACGTGGTGCTTTCGTCCAGTTGCCGCGCCTGCGAGTCTCTCCATTTGTAGAGCATCTTAAGAGCCGCCATTTGCTGATTATCGAAATTCTTCTTCGAACGTATGTATAATGGTATGTGGCTCTCGTCGTGAATCACCTCTTTATTGTATGTCTAAAGTAACAAAAATATAGAAATTATATTTTCACAATAACATTTTTTTTTTATTCTTTGTTGCTTAGATGGTTGGACGAGCCCGCCTGTTGTTAAACGGTTACTGGAGCCCATAGACATCTACAACGTAAATGCGCGACCCGCCTTGAGATATAAATTCTAAGGTCTCAAGTATAGTTACAACGGCTGCCCCTCCCTTCAAACCGAAGCGCATTACTGCTTCACGGCAGAAACAGGCAGGGTGGTGGTACCTACCCACGCCGACTCACAAGAGGTCCTACCACCAGTATGACATAATCGGTATTTGTACTTAATATTTTCGTAATTAAGTGGCAGTTTTTCTGATATCAATAAGTTCAATGAACGTCAACTGCAAAAAACGATTTCTAAATTAAAATTCACAAACATTACAATGATTAATGATTATTGACAACGCAATATTCTGTACTGCCAACGTTTTGTGCCATATTTATTCTGAAATTTTAAAACAGTTCGATGAACATTCAATTTCAAAGCGTCAATTATGGTGTTTAATTCATTCCTAAACGCTAAACGCTAAACATCTTTAAATAAACTTATATACTAACAGAGGCGCAAGTCTGACGGCTGTCCTCGAAGACCGACAGTAGCATATTCGTTTGTCCAGCATTCTTCTCGATTATTTGATTCTTCATAACGCGCCAAACGTACAAAAGATAGTGCGTATCCATGCGAGCGTACTTGATCAACACGTCCGGAAGCGGACGAATGCGCCAGTCCGCCAGACGATACCTGTGGACAATTGTTTTTTTGTAGCTTGTTAGTTGAACATGCTAACGGCCCACCTGATGTTAAATTACCAGAGTCCATAGACATCTACAACGTCAATGCCGCGACCTACATTGAGATATGAGGTAATATTTATATTGCAAATATTGGACTCCTTCATTTGCAATCGAGCAAAGAACCACGTCTAGTTCCATCAACGTTAAAACATGGAATCTCAAAACCGTTAACAAAAATACTGGAAATGACGTTTAAGAACCACTGATCATTCAACTCGGGAAGCGCGTTCTCGTGTAGGTTAATAGATTCCGGCAGACTGAATTACATATCAACAGCAGCGTTCCAAAACTTAAGACTACAGTAAAACTCATTAATATGGTAGTCGTACTGTCAAATCTCCTATATCCTGTAGAGATGTTATCAGTATACATTGAACAGATTCCAACATAAATGTATAAGGTCTGCTTGTTTGCAAAAGATGTCTTACGACCCCTGCCCTTTTTTATTACTTAGATGTGTGGACCAGCTCACGGCCCATAGACATCTACAACGTAATACCGACAACCTACCTTGAGATATGAGTTGTAATGTCTAGTTTTTACAGTACAACGGCTGCTCCACGCCTTACTGCTTCACGGCAGAAACAGGCAGGGTGGTGATACCTATCCGTGCGCACTCACAGGACGTTCTACCACCAGTAATCTATGGTAATGCTACGGTCTTTTACAGGTGTTTCGGTTAAAGAAAGCACGATCCACTTTGTTTTTTATAGCGGTTTTTGTTCAGTAATTAAAGACGTCAAAACATGAATGCGTCCACTCACTTTGAGGTATAAGATCGAAGTTTCAATTATATTGTAAGCGGCTGTCACACTCTTCTAACTATAGAAAGAAAGACTTCTCCGCGATATAAATAAGCGGAATGGTGGGTCGCTGGTTTTATAAGCAAAAAGACCGCGTTGTCAAAGCCGCATCGTCGTAACTTATAACGGTTACGTGCCCACTGCATTCTGTGCTTTTCCCTAAAGCTACGCAAGTCGTGTAATATTTCAGGAGCGCACGCGAATGTCTGGCCTTGCAGCGATTTAAAATTTGCATCGTTAATTATTAACGATAGGCTAAAGAAAACGTAAAATGAATCGGAATTCAATCTAAGTCTATTTCTGACCGTAGTTTTATTACGTGCCAAATATTTTATTTAAAAATTAGTAACTAACAGCCAAACAATCTATTTAAGGTTTAATATACACACGAGTACAAATATTCAATGTCTTCTAAAACAAAAAAAACAAAACGCGAACAGATTAAAAAAACATACAGAAGGCACAGACAGCTTCGCTCTTGGAAAACATGAAAAATTTCGGTGAAACAACATTAAAAAAAAAAAACGACGCTTTTAAGTGACGCGGTCCGAAAATTACAACTTGAAGAATTCAATTGCAATCTTTATTTAGCCTTCGAATAATTTAATTGAATACAAAACTTGTCCCTACGATCGAGTCGCGGTGCGACATATTTGTACGACCTTGTAATGAATGATAACGGTTTCATTCTTTAATACGTGCACATTTCGAATATCAGTACGTATTAACTAATGAGGTTCTCAAATTTTCTATCGTCTATTTAAAAATAATTGTAAATAGACGACAAGCTTTAACAAAAGACGACTTCAAATAGAAAAGAAAAAATATATTCCAAAACAAATTAATGTACACCAAAAATAATAATCATCGAAATCGATTGGCGTGATATTTAGTTATTCATCTATTTGTCGCGCACGTACTTAATGCAAATTTAAGACTTATATGGTTTTCTCATGGATACCATTATCAGAACTGACTTAATTGAAATGGGACCACACGGAAAGCGTCAGCTTACTAATAAAAAAAGAATCATCAAAATCGATTCACTCAGTCCAAAGCTATGAGGTAACAAACGTAAAAAAAATTTTGAACCTCCTCCTTTTTGAAGTCGGTTAATAATATAATAGAAGTCTGTGAATTTAATGTCTTAACCAGAAGAATAAAAGGATAGAATGCGAGGTTTACTTGTACCCTAATATCACGAAATATCGTTTTGTTACTTTATTTGAAGCAAGCATTATTAAAACCTATCTAATAAAAATGTATATAAACTTCTTCTAATTTTTCAAATCTTAATGCAAGGGAATAAAGAATAAAAAAAAAAAAATGCAAGGGACATAAAGTGAGCCATTACATATCCCTTTATAATTAAAAATGTACGAGTTAAATCCGATTTAAAATATACCATTAAATAAACACATCAATCGGGGATAAGGGTCAGCGACAGAGTTAATTTAAGTTCACGTATTCAAGCTAATGATAATGAAAAATTTTTTTATTGCTTAGATGGGTGGACGATTTCACAGTCCACCTGGTGTTAAATGCGCAACCCACCTTGAGATGTAAGTTCTAAGATCTCAGTATAGTTACAACGGCTGCCCTACCCTTCAAACCGAAACGCATTACTGCTTCACGGCAAAAATAGGCGGGGTGGTGGTACCTACCCGTGCGGAATCACAAGAAGTCCTACCACCAGTAAGAAAATACGCTCATTTTACTGATTGTTAGTCGAATAGAAAAACACAACTCGAACAGAGATCTGCGTCACAAAAAGACAGCATACGCACACAAAAACCCTAACTAGTCCATTGCTGAGAAAGAACTACGCTGCCATTTTTGCCGCGAATGCAGAACGCTTGAACATTTCAACGTTTTCAAAAATAGAACAACAGTTATTGATATACACAATTGAAAGCAAATAAACCAATTCTCGCGAATGACTTCCACGATCAAAGTATAATAATATGTACTAGTGGTCCCGCAGTAATCGAAATTCGACTATAATGAATTGAAATTATAACTCTGTACATTATTATGGTTCTATTGTTAAACTTCTATAATAATAGATTTCGCTAAGACTACACTATAGACAAATAAGTTAAAAGATAACTATCGTTTAAAGATAAACAATAATATATTATCCTATTCTCAATTTGACTACAGACTTAACAAAAGTTTGATATATATATGTGTGTCTGTGTGTCAAATACACGGTAGTGTGTGTAATGTGTTTTGTAAAGATTTAATGTATTATTAAGGCATAATTAAAAAAAATTATTAACATTCTGCACTCTTCCTCCATATTCTCAGAATCAAAGTCGCATCATTTTAATTTGCATTATTTGCAACAACACTATTTGTCGATTAACGAAAACAAAAACCACAATATCAAACATCTGCTACATTGCAATTGTAGCTTGATCCGTTTATCATCGTCAGCTAATCCGGCAAATTCGCTACATCCCGAACGAATTACACACTTATTTGCAACTAACAATCCCGAGTATATTCAACTGGATTCAAGCCCTCTAGTCTAAGGTCCGATTTGACGTTACTATTAGCTATCGATGATCAGCGATACGGGAATATTGTAGTTTTAATTTTTTATTTAGAAAGAAATCTTGTTTAATGTATTAAACAGGGGTTAGTTTACAGGGACTTTGTACCATAGTGTATACTAACACGTTCGTTAAATGAGGTTGCAATTCAAGCATTATCTGACATGTTTCGCGATATTTATATTTATATAAAATATTATTTACCTTATGCAAACAAGCAGAGCGGAAATGGACGCGAAGGAGAAAAAAATTATTACGAATAGCTAACAAGGAAATTTTCAGAAGCCGCGAGGAGATTGGAAAATAATCAAGTTACCTTGGGGATTGGCGCGACTGTGTTTACTTCTTTTCGAAATAGACGCTTCATTTTTACTACAGTACAAAAAGGCGATGTTTGATAATGAAAAAAGATTTTAAATTTAATGTAATAATTTTAATAAATTAATTTAATTTAATGTTTAAAAATCAATTGCTAAATTTTTGGCGAAGTATCGCTATCGATAATCACACAATCACAGCTCGATTGAATTGGGTGGTTTACTTTCAGGACAAGGTATTATATATTTTTTAGAAAATATACGAATGAATGTTCATACAATTAGCGCTATATAAAGTAAAGTGACCAAATTTAACTTTCAAACTATAAGAGATTTAGATATCGACGCTAGAAAGGCAAACATGACTAAGCGACAATGCGTGAATTTTACAGTAGACTAATTTAAAGTTGAAATACCTGAAAAAAATTATATTTTAACGAATCTACCTGTAGGATTGAAATTATTTTAATAGACCTAGAAATATATATTTTTTGCGCATCGAATATGGTTAGTGGCTATCATTTATGTACAAAGCAGTCACTGTCGCTTAGTCACGTTTGCCTTTCAAGCGTCGAATTATGTTATAAACTAATTAACGATATTTTAAAACACAACATTGTTCATACGTCCGGATAAAAAGATACAAATGTAGGTACTCACGTTTTATCGGTGTCAACGCCGCAATACTTCATCAAAAGAAATTTGAGCGAAAGCGCGGGCAGACCTAGTGACTTGGCTGCGTGGTATGTGTCGAAAAGACCCACCAAATACACGCCGAAATCACGTTGAAGCCAAAGAACATCGCTATCGGCACCGTGGAACACCTAAACAAACATTTACTTTAAAATTTCTAATGATAAATCTATTATAAACTAGCTGGCCCGGCAGACTTCGTAGTGCATCAATCGATAAATAAAAGACTTAAACTTTTGTACAAAATAAACTTAAAACAAACAAAAGGAATCCGTCCGACGGTGGACACATCAAAGGAAAAACAAAATTGTTATTTTTATTTAATTTCAAGCTTTTTCATATTTATCTACCTTTTAAACCTTCTCTGGACCTCCACAAATAATTCAAGACCAAAATTAGCCAAATCGGTTCAGCCGTTCTTGAGTTTTAGCGAGACAAACGAACAGCAATTAATTTTTATATGTATATAGAGAAGAAGATAGAAGATAGATATATACGAATGGATTTTACAACTTCAAACTACCCACTAATTTACCTCTTGCACCAATTTCTGTATTTTCCTAGCTAACGCTACCCCTTTTCACCTGATTCCTCTGCAGCCGCCTATTGAACTATGTTGTGAAGCAGTTTTATCCGAAGCGCAACTGTTTCATGACTTCCTATAGTTCACTCTTAACAGTTCAGTGCAATCCAATGCATAGCTATTACCATCAAAGTGGACGGAGATATTCAATGGTCCTGATCGAGGACTCTTAATACTGGGGAGTCCATGAGCTAGACCACAAGTCAGGCCGGTAAAAAATAATGTACGATTACGTTATGGACAGGCGAACGGTTCAAATCGAAAACTATAATTTTAAATACAAATTGCTAAAGCTTAACCACCGAAAATAACGAAATTTTATTATAATACCAAACGTGATAAGCCCCGTCCTTTCAAAAGGTTATATAGTACCTAGGTATCGAATTTCAACACGACATAATGTTACTAAATTTCCTAAAAGCACGAAAATCCTGCAAAATACAAATCGAATAACCCATTTATCTAGAACCCCAAACCCCTTAATAATGAATGTGACCCTCATCAAGTCAATAACAGTATCGAATAATAGAAATGCGTAAATTGAAGTTTTATGTACTAAACACATCAGAGGTCCGTGAATCAATTTATTAAGTTAATCAAAATCGATCAGTGGCCTTTTTTTATACCATATTACAGGCTCTGTCGATCGTAATAGCTTTACTATATATTCGGGGTACAATTTCAACGCCAATCAGAATCGGCACGAGGCTCAGCGATCGGAAATAATCTGTGTGCTTAGTGCGAGTTTTTTAACGTTCTCGATAGCGTAAAAGTTAACTCGAAATGGTATGCAGTTGGAATAGCACCCCTAGCGGCTAACGTGGCCAAACGTTCCGGCTCCATACAAATTGAAGTTAACTTTTACGCTATCGAGTACGTCAAAAAACTCGCACTACGCACACAGTATCGAATATTATTTATATGCAGTAACTAAAATCACGTGTGCTATTTTAGACGAGGACATGGGTAGTTGCATTTATACAATTTAGATGTCAGGTCAGCGGGAAACGATTACTCCACAGTGCAGCGTTACCCCGTTTATTGGATAATCGCAGGCTTGTTAGTGCTCCAACAGCACGTTTGAGACTCCGATGTCGTTATGTATACATGGATCTGTGATTCCAATATTTATTTAGGGCGCCTTATATAAGTATATACGCCGTATATACGGATGAAATCAATTTAACCTATAGACGATGACAATCGCTACTCTACCTGAAGTTTATCGAATGCAATCGCGCGTCTGATAAACTTTGTTCCAAACGAACTCCTCAAGGCAAAACAGAAATGTTTCTAAACTATTTTATTTTTCTCAACAACAAACTCGTTATTTTCACATTTGAAACGTTCACAAACGAAGCGAAAACAACTTGATAACTAAATAACTTTTTAATGAGATAAAAGAAAAAGAAGAAAAAAATAGTTCGCAACTATTTTCTTAGAAATTCTTAAAGTAAAGTCTTAAGTGAGGAGTTGTTGTTTTTAATGATTAATTATGTTTTTTTACTTGATTCTTTGAACGTTCGTTGATTTCTATAGCACCACGAGGGAGCAAACATTTAATTAGTTATTTGCATTTAACTATAAGAACATCTATACTCGCGAAGACTTCGTACAAAGCATAGACTTATCTGTATCTCTCTCTTACGAGTATGCTCCTGTACAATATTAATATATTTTATATGTAGAACAGTATTATTTATAAAATATTATATATCAACATATTAACATAACATAACATTCTATTAACTAAAATCGTCCAACATATTTGCTTTTCTCTAATTCCGATCTAAAGTTCTTAAAATTTTCCTGTAGGTTCCAATTATCCAAAGTGTTGAACACATCAGATTGAATTTCATTAAATTTCCAAAGGAACCAATGTTTTTCTGATAACTAAATAAGAAACATACATCGTACTCCATAAAAATAAGGGATAACTAAAAACAAAAAATATATCCATTTCCGTTCATACAACAGAAATAGCATTTCCCAAGCCAGAGTCTTCATTCACAGCGGCCGTCTGGTGTAGTGGTAAGTGACATGGTCACCACACAAGGGCGCCGCGGGTTCGAATCCCGCCAAGGGAAGATATTAGTATGATTAATATAAAATGTCTTTTCCAGGGTTATGGATGTATATATGTATGTGTATAATAAAAATCTTCCATTTATTTCCGTTATCTGGTAGCTGTAACACAAGTTCTTTACGAAACTATTATTGATCGAAGTTTACGAACTTAGCACGGGACCAGTTAACGTGGCGTGATTGTTAGTAAATATTTATTTATTATTATTATTTACTTACCTTTAGTTTCTTGGGGTCAGTGAAGACGACATTCAGTTTATGTATGTGTTCCCTTACAGCGAGAGCGTCAATGATAAAGTCTCCTCCTTCATCAGTTGATATTTGAATGAGGCACGTTATGCCTAAAATTAAATATAAACTGTTTATAACATAAAGATGTAATAATAGAGAGATTTTTTGACTTGTTTTTTCGTTTATTGTAAATATTTATACTTATTTAAAAAAAAGAAAATATTTGAGAAAAAACACAAAAAAAACCCGCTGAGTTTGTTTCGCCGGTTCTTCTCAGGACTGTGGCTCTTTTTGGAACTGGTGGTAGAGTTAACAATGTTGTTTTTTATATTTTGACATTCAACAAGTGTGTTATGCTGACATCTAAGTTGAAATAAATGATTTTGAATTTGAATAAGCAAAACAAAAAATACCAACTTAAAAATGTTAAATCATAATCGATAGATCTAAAACCATTTTGTTCCACAATAATCTGCATTGTATTTATAATTAAGACGAAAGCGTACCCTGATAGGTCCTATAGGAATGATGTTCTACATCTACAGCAATTTGTTCGACGGCCATAAGGTGTTCAACCAACTCGTCTAGCTTCGATTCTATATCTATGTAAGTGAATTTCGTTTCCTCCAGAGGGGGTGGAAACATGGGAGGCTCCGGATCGGGATCGATGAACTGCGACGGAGGGTTATACATGTCCAACTCCATTTGGTATGGATGCTCATATCTGTTACAAATTTTTATTATCGTTTTAATGATTACATCATTGTGTATACTAGTGGTCCCCCGGTAGTCGAATTTCGACTATAATTAATTGAAATTATAAGTTTCAACATTATTAAGATTCTATTTTCAAAGATTATTTATTTATAGATACTTCTATAATCACAGCTTTCGCCAAGACTACTACACTTTTGACAAATATTAATAAAGACAAACAATATTTAATCTATACTCAATTTGACCACAGACTATAAGCAATAAAAAATGTTTGACATTAAACAAATAGTATCCATGCGTTAGCGTGAGTGTCAAATACATGGGTAGTGTGTGTGTAATGTTTTTTTTATTCATTAAATTTATTTTTTATGTATTAAAAAAATATTAACATTCTGCACTCCTTCCCTATAGGTACTCTCAATAAGTGTGGGAAATTTCATACTCCTCCGTAGGCGCAAATTTCATAAAAAGGGGTACAAAGTTTTTGCTTCACGTAATAATATAGATTGTGGAAGGATCCCTCACATATATACCTCATAGCAATATATTTGGTTACGATGAGGATGAAGAGTCACAGATGTCATGGGAGACCAGATCCTGGGTGGATATTCCAAAGCCTTAGGTTGATGAGATGTGCCGAATAAAGCAAGTAGAATAGTGAACATGCCAGACTCCCTGTGGCTCGATGGGATAGGGGGAAAACATATTTATATTGCATTGCACTCCTCTGCAAGTGTTGGAATAAAGTCGCCCGACCCTGCTTTCTTATTTCTGCAGGACTGACGGCAATTGAACGGCCCAAACAATAAGGAATCGAGATTGAACCTCCCAGTTAAGTTAATGTATCCGAAATAGATTTTACTTTTATTACATCATACTCATTAATTGAATTACGATTATAGTCTACCTGAGATATAATAATCTAACCAAGAAAATGACAACTGCAACAAGTTTTAAATTAATCGGATAAGCTGTATTGGCACGCAACTTATGTGAAAATCACGAAAAAAAAATTGTTTTTATCTTATATCATATTTTGTTTTCGATGTGATTTACAATAGCATAAATATAACAGTTTATAATATATTTTAAAGTAATTTAATAATAATAATAAAAACAATTTAAAAATATAATGCAATTAATTCAGCTCACCCAACAGCTTCGCCCTTCTCGGTATACAAAATGTTTAAAGCCAAAGGCTTGATGTTGTTTGGTTTGTCTGAAATTTTGGGCACCCACAAATTCTCAGAATTATCAATTGTATCCTTGAAAGTAAGCTGTGGACGCGGAATGTTTTTAGCTCCGATGAATATAGTTGATCCCATCTGTGGACGATTAAAGCTTTTAAAGCCTGTTCATTGAAATTATTAATTACGGGAAAGGGGGGTGGATAAGCAATTGAACCTCGTTCAGAAGTTAATTATCGTTAGGGATTTATAGTTAGTCAGGTGTTTCAACAAATGAACAAACATGTTACCTTCTTTTCAGAAATGACAGGCTTATTCCAAGGCGATGAGTTATGAGAAGGATTATCATTGAGACCGCTCGCGAATGCCTCACTGGGTAAGTTCTCACCGCTCACTGTATCAATGCTAATATTAATCCTGTCCAATAAGCTGTCGTTTACATCAGCAAGTTTCTCTATGTTGCTTGTGAAATCCTCACTAATTAAAATATAAATAAATAGGTCAATCCGATATGTAAGGTACTAGTAAGCTGGATACATGTTACTGGTGGTAGGACCTCTTGTGAGTCTGCACGGGTAGGTACCACCACCCCGCCTATTTCTGCCGCTAAGCAGTAATGCGTTTCGGTTTGAAGGGTGAGGTAGCCGTTGTAACTATACTGAGACCTTAGAACTTATATCTCAAGATGGCTGGCACATTTACGTTGTAGATGTCTATGGGCTTCCGTAACCACTTAACACCAGGTGGGACGTGAGCTCGTCCAACCATCTAAGCCATAAAAATAAAAAATAAAACAAAAAAACGCATTATACGAACTGAACGAAATTAAAAAAGTTCCGTTGCCTTTTGGCTCTGAAACTCGACTACCAATATTATATCTTTGGATTTCATTTTGCATTTGCGATCAAGAGATAACGCAACAACTGCAAGTGCGACTTGTATTTAATATTGATGTACCTATTTCAAAGCATTTCTCTGAATAAATCTATGTCAACCTGAACACCTGTGCAATTAATTAAATTTTTCATGTTCAAATAGTAGAACTATTCACAAAATCCGTCTTTTTGGAAAACAGATTGACATACAAATTATATCTGAGAGACTATTTACGTTCGTACTTTATTGAATTAATATAAAATTAGTATTCCCTACTAATCTATACTAATATTATAAAGAGGAAAGATTTGTTTGTTTGTTTGTTTCGAATAGGCTCCGAAACTACTGGACCGATTTGAAAAATTCTTTTTCCATTAGAAGCCGACATTGTCCCTGATGAACATAGGCTACTTTTTTTTAATTTTTTTTAATTTTATTTTTTTGGTTTCATGTGTGTTTTAATGTTTCCGAAGCGAAGCGAGGGCGGGTCGCTAGTTAAAGTATTAAAGGTAAACAAAACTCTGATCACTAAACGTCACCAATCTGATTTAAAAAATATATAAAATAACAATGAATTATAGCATAAACATATTATTATTATTTTTATTGCTTAGGTGGGTGGACGAGATCACAGCCCACCTGGTGTTAAGTGGTTACTGGAGCCCATAGACATCTACAACGTAAATGCGCCACCCACCTTGAGATATAAGTTCTAAGGTCTCAAGTATGGTTACAACGGCTGCCCCACCCTTCAAACTGAAACGCATTACTACTTCACGGCAGAAATAGGCAGGGTGGTGGTACCTACCCGCGCCGACTCTCAAGAGGTCCTACCACCAGTAATTATACACATTTTTATAGAGTAAGTGCGTGAATGAGCTCCCCGCTTAAGTGGTTCCCGTATGTTATAGACGTTACTAGAATGCCGGCACCAATCATGATACATGAGCTTGAAGTCTAAGTTATGTCGTATAAAGGCTGTCCTATACTTCAAATCGGAATTCATCTTGACTGCTTGAGGCAAAAATGGACAGGACGATGGTATTATTGCAATAATTGTTACGTTATAATACTCATTGTAAAAATGAATATTTAAAAAAATATAATATTTTTTTTTATCTAAAATAAAAAAAAGACATGCCCGCTGAGTTTCTTGCTAGTTCTTCTCAGGACGGAGGCTAGTTTTTGTGATTGGCGGTAGTTCTTTTTGACGTTCAACAAGTACATACTTTCATTTATGTTGAATAAAAAAATTTTGATTTTGATTTGTATCCACCCGTGCGGGCTTAAGCCTACAACTGCCTGCCTACCACTAGTACCACAGATTACATAAATTTAAAAATTTTGCTGGTTTGTTTTTTATTACACGATGTTCATGCACACTTTCAACGTTGGAATCGTTCGTGAACACGTGTTAAGTATAATATACTTCCTCAAAGAAATCGTGCTTGCAAATGGCAATTGCTTGATACGAGTACACTAGACGTCTTATCCTTTAGACAAAGGGTGAGCAAACTTTTCAATCAATGGGCCAATAAAATTTTTTTTTTTTTTGGAGGGCTGCACTTCGATTAACTCTTATTAATAGGTTACGAAACTCTGTTAAAAACAAACAAGAAAAGAACAGAAAAACGAATTGATGGGAGAAAGCAGAAGATAAAATAAATTCAATTTTAGAAATGCTTGGCGGGCCGCGTGTTTCTCGTCCTTTCCTTAGACCAGTGATTCTCAACCACTTTTACGCGGCACTTTTGTGTGCCGTCAAATTTCAAGTGTGTCGCCAAATTTTGCGATTATATAATAATGTTAATATTATTAAATTATATCATTCTAAAAGAAAAATATTTTAAACATGAATATATATTTAAATCCGCAAAAAAAATTTATACTATATTTTAGTTTATTTCGTATATTAAAATTTTTTGATAAACTATTTATGCAGTGTGTTGTAGTAAGTAAATAATTTTTATCTTTTTTTTGTGTGCCGCCAAATTTTGAAATCGTTAAATATGTGCCGCAACAAAAAAAAAGGTTGAGAATCACTGCTTTAGACCACGACTTCTAAGTAATAAGTCTGAGTAAATAATAATTTATGACTAAAACAACTTCAGCGATATATAACTAGTATAACGATCAAATTAATACAGACTGCAGCAAAAATGTGCTCTAGCAAACAAAACACGTACGTATCTATCTGCGTTCACGTGCGTTCCATTTATAAAGTACTTACATTTATTTAATTTTTAAATTATCACTTACCACTTCAGCTTCACGGCCGGTTGTTCAGTGCCAATCAGTTCGTTTGACTGTTGAGCAACATTTTGGCTGATCTGATTTGAAATTTCATTAAATTCTGGATATGTTTTAAATAAATCATACGAAGAGCTCATCGGCAGTTGATTTGACGACTTTATTGTCTTGTTAACACTTCTATATCCTTCCTGCAAAGATTGTCATTTCTCAATCCACGTAATAACATAAGACACATATATAGCGGTCGTGTGGTGAACCTACAGAGATAGTTATCGCCACTATAGCAGCTGCCTTCACACATAATTCAGTCGGGACGGTATAAAACACATTTATTACAATTGAAACTTCGATCCTGAGTCTCAAGGTGTGGAGCGCATTACATTGTGTATTCTTGAATTTCTGAACTACGAAACGCCCGATGGGTCATGTGACCATGAACGGCATTATAATAAAACAAAGAGTAGCAATCAAATTTTAAGCTGATAAGTCATCTTAATTTCTGACACTTTTATAAAACCTTTGATAGGAAAAGCTGAAAATAAATATTGCATGAATAATTATTAACATATGCAATAGTTTTATGATAAAATTTATTCAATTTCGGGTGACATCCTGTGCTGGATATGGGCCTTCTTCTAGGATCAATCACAGCGACCAGTCTTTTGCTGTGTGCATTCAGTAGATTCTTTTTTTTCCTACCTATGCTGATTGAGAGGCTATTTCAGCTTCTCCTTGACGTGTAGGTGAGCTCACAGGGCTCAAACTGGGTGTGTTGCTAACACTGGTCTTAGCAAGAGCAGTGCTTCGCAGAATCTACCACCGGATCGGAAACGCGACCCACTGAGAAGATCCGCCGAGAAACTCAGTGGGCTGTGTCTATGGGTCTGTAGATTCATTGAACAATGTTCCCGATCCATTTTTATTCATACAAAGAACTACACACTCGATATAACTCCACTTTTGCACATTGACTTAAATCTACAATAAGGATAGAGAAAAGCAAATACTAAATGCTATGGTCATTAAATGTGCAACAGGCAAAGAAGGTGAATCAAGTAATATTATGCTGAAAGCATGCATATACATTTATTTTATGTATATTGATTCGATAAAACATTACTCGGATTTCATGTTACATAAATAATACAAATGCTGCCATCTATTGTCAGGTGCATATATTTATTACTATGTTGCGAGATGCTATTTAATTTTGAAATATTCTGTTATCACCGTTAAAATAAAGGCCTCGAGGCATATAATTTTAAAACGATGTGCTCATATATAAAATAAAATTAGCGCCATCGACGCACTATGAAAATTGGATAGGTAATACAGATACAAATGCTGATGTTCAGGTGTTTGCGATAAAATCTATTTGTATTTTCTGGGGATCACGAGTCAAGGACTTTATTAAAAAATACTTCAGGGTTTGATCTCGCATTCTCGATCGAACGTTTTGACATTTGAGTATTGCGCTATAATGAAATTTTCTATAAAACATTAAAAATAATATGTAGACGACATTTTGATAGTATAACCCGAAGACAAAGTTATCATAATTTTAAACCATTTTAATTATATGCCAATTCCTAATTCCTAATTTAAATAAAAAGGAATTGCTGTTCGTTAGTCTCGCTAAAACTCGAGAACAGCTGGAACGATTTGGCTAATTTTGGTCTTGAATTATTCGTGGAAGTCCAGAGAAGGTTTCAAAGGTAGATAAATATGAAAATACTCGGAATTAAATAAAAATAACAATTTTGTTTTTCCTTTTAATGTGTCCCCCGTCGTACGGATTCCTTTTGTTTGTTTTAAGTTTATTTTATACAAAAGTTTAGGTCTTTTATTTATCGATTGAGGCACTACGAAGTCTGACGGGCCAGCCAGTTCATAAAAACACTTTTACAATGGAATTAAAACAAAAATTCATTAGCTTTCTTAGACACGTTGCTCATTAGGTATTTTAGTAACACTTTTTACCCTATAGAAACGTAAATGTCAAGAGATTTTTTTTTAGACTATTTGACGGTAGTTAGCATATTATTCAATTGTTGACGAACTTGTTGCTCGTGACTACAAAAACTAAAGTATTCGAAAAGTCAGAAACAATAAATTTAAAACCACAAACGCGAGATTAAACAATAAACGTGATTAATTTTAAAGTCTCCTATTCTAAAACATAATGCATATTGTTTTATCGGTTTTTCAATTCATCAAGTTTTCGTAACAGAGGCTTTAAATGAAATCGATTCTTAGAGAGAAATCTTAAAAATACACAAATACAAATAAAGTTGCTAGATTATAAATGATCTATATAGTAGATATCAAAAACAGAACGACAACATAAATGTGAAGTTTCAAATCAACAAAATATTTTTATGTATGTGAGCAACTTCTATAGAAATCATGTTATCTTTTTATATTTGTATGATGATGATTATTCATGACGACATTTTTCCATTGCTGCACATGATCCCATTGCTATAGAAATTTTGAGGCTTCTGATCAAAATACCGCGATAATTGGTTTTGGCAGTCCTCTCGTGATGTTAACCTGACACTGCCTAAGGAATTCTGAAGAGACCGAAACAGGTAGAAATCTGAAGGTGCAAGGTCAGGATTATACGGCGCGGATGCATTAACGCCTCCCAACCAAGCTCTCTTAATTTTTGCTGAGTGGCTAAAGATGTTTGAAGTCTAGCGTTATCATTATGAATAACCACACCCCTTCTGTTGGTTAATTCCGGTCGCTTTCTCTCAACTTCTTGCTTTAATCTCATCAATTGTTCACAGTAGAGTTCAGAATCGATAGTCCTGCTGGTGGTAACAGCTTATAATGAATAATGCCCTTCCAATCCACACACACAGCATTACGTTGTTGCGAGTTAACCCGGGTTTCGCCAGAGGCTTTTGACCACGACCTTTTTCGAACGTTCTTGTCGTACGTGATCCACTTTTCATCACCAGTTGTCAGCTTCTTCAAAAATGGTTCGGTTTCATTACGTCGTAATAAAGAATCACAAATGAGTACACGGTTCGTTAATGTCTTTCAGTAAGTTTGTGAGGTACTCAAACATCGAGTTTTTTTGTGTACCCAGTTTTTTTCAAATGCGCCAAAACTATTTTGTGGTCAATCCCCAGTTCTTCAGCTACGTCGTAACTACTGATATACCGATCTTGCTCACTTTTTAAAAAATGGCATCCATTTTATTCGTAATAGAGCGACCAGAGCTACGTGCATCTTTGACATTGAAATTTTCGGATTGAAAACGGCTAAACCAAATTTGTGCGACTCTCACAGACACTGCACTAGGCCCATAAACATCGCATATTTTTTTCCAGGGGTTGCGTTGCATTTCTACCTTTTTTGTAGTAAAATTGTAAAATGTATCGAATTTCTTCTTTAGATTCACTCATCTTGACAGTACGAAAAATAAATAAAAATCACACGTTTTCCTAATTTTAATTTGGAATTATCTTCTTTAAAATTTAAACTTTTAATGATCCAAAAACCAGCCAGGCCAAAGAGATTTTATTACAAGTTCATTCATACTATAATACGAAAAGACTTTCCCTATTATCTATTTATTTTATGTATTTCATTATATATGTACATATATGTTTATGTTATTAAGGTGTATAATTGTGTATGTATATAGTCTGATATATAATGTGTTAGTGTTTTTTTTTATTTCATATTATTATTATTGTGTATTGTATCAATAAGTAAATTGATTAGATTGTACTCTTCTACCCACTTATATAAAGCTCTCCCTCTTTAAGAACGGTTAGCTGGTAGATAACTCAATTGTTGAGTTAAGCTCGCCATTTTATAACTTTTCGCAATTATTGTATTATATTAATTGTGTGTACAATAAAGAATAAAGAAACAATTTATACAGGTTTAGTTTATTATGTTTTTATAAAGTATATTTGTATATTATTTTATCATCATTCTAACTTTCACAGAAAATAGAAAGACAGGTTTCTTCTAGAAAAGTTCTCGTTTAATTATTAGCAGAATCAGGCTTTTAATAGTTTTGATGATAATATTCAGCGCAGGCTAATTCTGGATTGCCAGGCTAAAGACTTTATCTGCTAAACTTTTGTACACACCAAATTACAATATACATTGTGACACCATAGCATATTAGTCTGATACACTGCTATGAATTCATATTTTCATTCATGTTTTTACACTAATTTATAATAGTTTTTGCATTATTGGCAATATTATCATATTACAAACATATAAAAAAAATTAAAAAAAACACCCAAAACAATTAGTAAAAATGAGGAATTCATAAGGTAGTAACAAAACATATAATATTGCATCTATGGATCTTATTAGTAGCTGTGGTATTGGGCATTGTTTTTGGTTCTTTTGGATTATGTAGGTGATTTTTTTTCATTAAGTGTATGTGTGCAAAATTTGTAGTGCTTTAACGCTAGCAATGGCTGGAATTTTAAACTTACAGCTCTACATACATCTGCTTACAGTTTTATGACTGATCACATGACTAATAAAATAAAGAAAAAAATTGCAACATAAGAATTAATTAATGTGAGATATGTTTTTTTTTACGGAAATGTGCATTCAACAAAGCTTCAAAATAACAAAATATTGTATGAAAAAGGCAATTAGTAAGTAAATAAATAAATATATAATATAATAGTACATTGTGCACCAAGGGAGGAAAGTTGGACATTTCGTCTCTCGTGTTAAATTGCGTGGCAAACACGCAGGATGAGATGTCCTATTTTTTTCCCACGGTGCACATACTATTTTTTCTCCTACCAGGCCGAAAGTTCGACATTGTAAAAAACTTAACACCCGAGCCGTGGTTCAGGGGAGAAGCCCTGGCGGGGGCACTCATAAAAAAACAATTTAACTGTTTTTTTTAATTTTTAAATAAACTACAACTAATTGAATAAGAACTCATCTTTGTTTAATACTTCACTATTAAATTTTATTGTGTTTTGTTTATTTCACTTTTACACACGCACAACAGCAAATTCCCCGAGCACAATGGTGGAGAATTTTAGGTGTGTGAGAGCAGACGTAGACACTAACGCACATGCGCACTTGTCAGTACCCAGGGAGAAAAAGTTAGACTTTCTTCCCTGTACAGCGGGACAAAAACTGAACTTTCAGAGTCGGTAGGAGAAAAAATCCATTTAGATGAGAAGAACACTGTTTTATATAAAATACCTCAGCATTAATGTGGTCAAAAGGCAGTTCCAACTGTATTTCTAGATTATTGCTGGCCAGTTCATCTTGATTACTCAGCTTTTTCTAAATACAAAGACTCAATAATATTGACTAACTTAGTGAAAGAAACTAATTATTGGTTATATAAGTAGGTATAGTTATGGGTTAATGGTATAAAGTATAGACAATTAGAACCTTTAGATGAAACACACCTGATCTACAATAATCTTTAAGGAAAATAACTATGGTTTTGGGCTATCTGAAAGCTGTTGATCTAACATGATTATGTATGTATCTATATATTTTTAAGTTTACTTTTTGTCAAAAATGTGAGTTCACAAATTAATCAACCTAATACCAACACAAACAGTGGACCAACCAATAATACCAAATTATTTTATTTTTTCTAAAATTTACATTTATTTGGAGAGTGGAGTGATGTAAGATGAACAATGAACTTAATATGAAACAAATGTGTTTATTGCTAATTATTAAGTTAATAAAGTTACATAGTATTTTTGGTAAACTATGATTGCCATCTTATTAAATAAACTTGAATCGTATTATGAAAACAAAGCACTTTAAGAAATAATTCTGAATGAAATCTATCATCTTTAACACTTTCAACTTCAAACTAACACACGATGAGTTCAACACGTGAAAGGTATATTGTTTTTGTAGGACGTCTGTCAAATCTAATCTATTTCGTAGGGAACACGTTTTGTTCAATGAATGTTGTAATTATATTTAAATACAAAACAAACTAGGTAAATTGTAGGAGATATTAATTAAAATAAAAAAAGAATTCGAAACATGTCTTCATTCAAAGATTGTAAAACTCATGTATTGTAATTTCAATATATTATTTTATAAATTTCTTAAGAAACTTACCTGTGTGACTGCCGCCAGGTGTGGATAAAACTCAGGTGCATCTGGATTAAGCGCGGAGTTCATTTTGATACGCAAATAAAAGAAGTGAACCGAAATCAAAATACGACGGCAGCCTTTGTTGAGCGAGCTTTGTGAATTGTGATTTGTGAATGCGATCTAAAGTCCATCAACTGTCAAGTCGATGTCAACTGCCAGTCAGTTTTTTTTTATTAAAAGAGCGTTGGGAATCCATCCCATGAATATTTATCTTTTTAGTAGGTAAAACTCAGTGTTACTTTTTAGACACGAAGACAAGGTATCTATCCTTTTAAGTCCAGAAGTACCTGTGATTGCTTCGAGGTAAAAAAATGCAGGATTGTGGAGCCTACTCATGCGAACTTCCAATACCCCTGCCAGCAATATCCACCCAACTTTTTAAATATTTCATTTTATTTTCATTTTACGATGCTACCCTATTATCCTGAAAATCATTTATGAACGTATCGATAACTCATTTTCTAAGAAAAAACGACCCTAGCCTTTTCGATACGCTCTAATAGCAGAAAATAGTTCCTCAAAGCACCCCCGCTGGAATAAATGGTAGCAACGCATATGTACTGACCTAAAATATCTTCACATACACATTCAGACACTAAATCAGAACTTTGTATTCCTAAATTTTGTTGTTGTTAACAATCCGGAATAAGAGTCAGCGACAGAATTAATTTAAGTTCACGTATTCAAGCTAACGATAATGATTTTTTTTTTGCTTAGATGGGTGCACGAGTTCACAGTCCACCTGGTGTTAAATGGTTACTGAAGCCCATGGACATCTACAACGTAAATGATGCCACCAGCCTTGAGATATGAGTTCTAAGGTCTCAATATAGTTACAACGGCTGCTCCACCCTTCAAATCAAAACGCGTTACTGCTTCACGGCAGAAATAGGCCGGGTGGTGGTACCTACCCATGCGGACTCACTGGATTGCATAATTATTATTTTTATAATTCAACAATTCTCCTTAAATAATTACAACGTAAAATATTTAGCTTTATAGTTATTACATAAGTCTGGTTCTGATTCTTCTTCTTTTCAGGCGTATGCACTCTTGGGAGAGTGGTCGTGTCGTGGTCATCAGTTCGGGTGCTGGTGCGCTTCACATATTGCTTCGGAGTAAGCATCTTTTTTAGGAAGAAAAATGTGATCAGGGTGTACGTGCAAACAGCTGCCAGAATTTTGTGCTCTATAGGTTTGAATTAGGAAGCATATATTGTACCATAGACAATAACATTCATAATGTACAACAATAACAAAAAAGTTTATAAATACAATAAATGTATGTACAAAATCACTATTTTTTTTCGAAGTTTTGTTTTATACACTGTACTATGATACATTTTATATTTAATTATTAAAATTCGAAGTGTATTAGTTACATACAGCTATATATTGTGCAGCAATACAAGTTCTAGAGTAAAAAAAGTGACAAAACCAAAACTGAACTCTGAAAGAAGGGAGGCAACGAGGTGGTAATAGATTGATAGTGTGGGGCTATTGCGGGGTGAATCTAAGCAGGGTTTGTTGTGAGTTCTCCCGCCCCGAAATAAGTCCTCTGCGGTTGCGCACTGCAGAGCGTTTTGCCACTCTGCGCTGTTTGCATTTTACATGAGCGAGCAAGGGATAGAGAATAAGGCTTCATCGAGCGAGCTTTAAACAGGGTAGGTATCACACTCGATATTCTGTGGGTTGGTCGCCAAGCCGAGGTATTGTACGAGTGTAAGAGAGTGTGCATTTATGGTTAAATTTACAGTTTAAAATTTTAGAAAATCCACAATCACATGGTTCTTTTAAAATTTTTGTTTTATTTTTTGTTGACATGACTTTAGAAGATCCTTTCTACGTCGTTAAAGAGTAAGTGGAGTAAAGTAACTGTTCATTTATATTAATAGATGGCATTGCAGCTAGGGTAAGGTAATTGTTTCCAGTGGGTGGTGCTGAATATTACATGATACTGTGTAGCAAAAAGCAAAGGCTGAAGTTAAGGTTTATATACGAATATTGATTTAATAATGAAAACGAATTTAGTATTGTGCATCTTTTTACTGTTAAAAATAAATGTAACACACTTTAAAATAATTAAGTGTCATTTGTGGACTATAATTAAGTAACATAAAAGTACGAAATCAACTCAATCTAGTCTAGTTTTACTTCTAAGACATCACCTAAAGTAATATCAGCTAGGAGGAGAAAAACTGACAAAGTACAGGTCTTGTTTATTCTTGTTTTTATAGCTATTTTAATAGCAAAATGAATAACTTTGTTTAAGTATGTGATGAGAAAGTTTAAAATTTTCATAGAAGATCCAATATTAATATTCTTATAATATATATACAGTATAATATTTATGAAACTTAAAATTTATTGGATTTAAATAAATTGAATATTTATTAAATTACAATTTTAAATATCGTTACAAAATGTCCTATTGCTATTGCACATCAAAATAGATACTTAGATTTTAATATTTTTTTTATTACATATTTGGGTGAACACACTAATTAACAACTCATTCAACTGTTATATTAAGTAATTGCTTTATTGATCTTCAAGTAGAAAGATCTTATGAGAAATAATAACATTTAACATTATGTATATGGCTATAGGATTATTATAAATAATTGTAGGATTAAATAGTAGGAATAGGAAGAATTAAATAGTAAATGGGCTCATACTTTGAGAACTATCATTTTTTATTGCCTTTGTAAAAAGACCGTATGATCCATCTGATGGTAATTAACCTTCATAAGCTATGTACATGAGCAATTTCAAGGGTACAGCCAAGCTGATGCCTAATTTTGAGGACACTTACATCTCGTTTGAAGAAAGACATGTCATAGCTGTCAGAAAACATGTTAGAGGGAGGTTCATTTCAAACTCAGCTACAGCAGTAAGTTTCTAATGACCAAATTTTGATGTTACTCCCATGACTTGAAGGTTTTTGACATGTTCTCAAGAGCTTTTGCTTCAAATTCGGACGAGGAATGTTAAAAATTCAAATGCTTTGTTGATTGTTGGATCAAATGATTGATTGAATGAAATGATTTGGTGAAATGTGATTAATTTTTACTGGTGGTAAGCGTCTTGTGAGTCCGCAGGGGTAGGTACCACTGGTAGGTGATTCTGTTTGAAGGGTGGAGCAGCCTTTGTACTTTAAAATTAAGACATTAGAACTCATATCGCAAGGTGGGTGGTGACATTTACATTCTATAAGCCTGTGGGCTCCAGTAACTATTTAACTCCAAATGGGACATGAGCTAGTCCACCCAAGTAATAAATAATAAAATAAATAAACAAATGTAGTACTTAAGAACGAAATTAACTTTTCTTTTAGACACACAATACTCAAGGAGTTTTTCAAAATATTTGTGAAACCCTATATATTTTGTATATGACATCAGCTTTGACTTACTATATTAACTTTTGGTACTTTTCTGACACAGTGAGGTGTTCAAAGCACTGAATAAGACTCGTGGTTTGTACCTACGCTGGCAGGAGATTTGTAAGACTCCAATAATTGCAAGTAGTCCAGAAGTAGAATGGACTTCGACTGAATTGAAAAATGCACTGCGCAGCATTGAATGGGATTTGGAAGATTTAGAAGATACAATAAATATCCTTTAAAATTATTTTATATTTTGTAAAATAGTGATGATGTATGTGTTTGTTGTAGATGCTTTTTAAATTGATAAACTTATCAGTTAAATGTTAACAAAAACATTCCATTAGATTTATTTGTGCTATCTCAAATTCCAACATTACTAATTTTCATGGTCCTTAATGTTTTGTTATTTCGGGTTATTTAATATATTATTTACAAATTCCTTACCTTCACACTAGCTTCTTAAAATTTTATTTTATAATTCTTTAGTTTGTCACATGAGTCCACTTGCTGTTTATTAGTCATGACAACAATTCATAGATACCATATCACATTATGGTGGCAATCTGCCATCACCTGCTTGGTGACATGAAGTAGAGATTTCAGTTGTATTATACAATGACTGTCTTTCCCATCAAGCAGAAATGCATGAAAGCTTTACAAACACAAGTAAGCAGTTCCCATTATAAATATGCAGCGTTCATATTAGAAGTATTTTACTCTGAGAAAACTTACACATCATCTTATCATTATTAGAATTCATTAATAAAATATCAATACAAGAGTACTTTTCTGTTAGGACATTCACATAATTTTGTATTAGTTACATGAATATTATGTTTATACCTTATTATATGGTCTATTATTCTAGATGAGCAATGAAAAGTGACAAGTTGCAATGTAATGAGATTTATTTAGACCCCAAAAAAATTGGAAAACTGAAAATATAGCGGTCATAGGATAGGATAGGTCATTCACATTTGAACTAACAGGCATACATGCTAATGATCTGTTTCGTGATCTTGCCCAAATTACACAGAATTCACCTAATATTAAATTGATATCATCAAATAGCATCGCTTAAGTTCTTGGGTTTAAAGGGTCATTGATTTGTATGTATGCATACAATAATAACTGTGATAAATCTAGCATCTTGTCATAAGACAATTTCGTCCGGTGGTGGGTTCGTCAAAAACTAATTTAGGAATAGAATAGAGAACAGTAACCTAGATCTTCTCTTACGTGAACTATATAAATGCGTCAAAATAACAAGATGCAAAGTGACATGATACAGTCCGCAAAAAGAATCTGAAAGTACTGGTTTCCGTTCAATTAATTTTTGACATTATTTGCCCAACTCTAAAATCAAATAACCATGGAGCTAGTAGTATCTTCATCGATATGTTAAGTTCGTCGTTGCATAGTTTTGTTTACAAAGGTTGGTAGTACACTCTAGGCCCTAGGCGAAAGCGCGCCAATGGTTCCGAAAATACTCGCGTAATCCCTAAAAACGAAATTAACATATATTTTTTTTATTACTCTTGTTTGTATTTATTAGTGATTCTCATTAATGCGCGGAATAGATAGAGTGGGATAAAAGGCATGCAAATTATAGACATATATAGTTACAAGAATTTCTTTTCAAAATTCCACCGCAAAACACGACGAAAATGAAAACTTATTCTACAAAATATTTATTAACTAGCTGACCCGGCAGACTTCGTAGTGCCTCAATCGATAAATAAAAGACCTAAACTTTTGTATAAAATAAACTTAAAACAAACAGAAGGGATTTTGATATTTATTTACCTTTTAAACCTTCTTTGGACTTCTACAAACAATTCAAGACCAAAATTAGCCAAATCGGTCCAACCGTTCTCGAGTTAGCGAGCGAGCGAGCGAGACTAACGAACAGCAATTCATTTATATATATATATAGATTGTTAGTTCAGTAATATATTTTATTCAAACAGGTTTATCATTTAGCATAAAAATGTTGAAGGATGTCTAATACAGAAAATTATTGACCAGTTGCAACGGACCGCTTAAAAAAATCACATTTCGTTGAGTCGCAACATATCACCTTTCATTGCTTACATAGGTAACAGTGCGCAATTTGAGTAAAATATAAATTTCTTAACCACATATCTCCAAGTATTGTAGAGAAGAACTCTTCAAAATTCAAGATTGACAACAAAGAAATTTGTGATAGACGAACCTTTATCGAAGCAACGAAGCAAGAAGTCAAGGTGTGAATAATATATAAAAAAAAACATTATTTATTTATTTATTGAACACCGGACAAAAATTACGAATAATTATGAATAACAAGTTTTGTATATACCGCAGAACATGAAGAGCAAGATGAGCTTGAACCGCAATCGAGACAATGACGGAACCGCTCGGGAGCCTCTACTTGGTGACGATAGTCCAATGAACTTTGGCAACAATTGGACATCCACTCCGAAATACACTAAATATTCAAAACTAGCGAATCAAACCGACAGTCCCAATCGCTTCGATATTTATGACAATGATATTCTGTCTATGCAAGATAAGTTGTTGGGAAATCAGAATGAGCAGCTACAAGTTATTAGTGAGACGGTCGGTTCGCTCAAGACAGTTTCCAAGCAGATTGGTCTTGAACTCGACGAGCAAGCTGTGTGAGTACGCCTTTTCATAAAACTGGGTTTTGTCCACTTATCGAAATTTTAACCATAATTACTTACATCTTAAGACTTAGATTCATTTCTCCTCTGGGGAGGGTAGAAATTACTTATCTGCATATTTATCTTTGCATATTTATTGATTTAGATTCAAGAACATCGAAGGATTTTAGTTGATACTACATACCCGATCCTGTAGACCGAATGGTAAACAGTCGACATCGCCCAAAACACGTCATTACGGATCCTCTCGATCCATTAATGATGCTTTTAGGTACTACAATCACCGGTCCACGTCGTCGTCGAACCCGTCGCTTGCGACAAAGGACTCGACGAACGAATTAACCCATAGACACAGCCGAGTCTGAGTTTCTCGCCGAATCTTCTCAGTGGGTCGCGTTTCCGATCCGGTGGTAGATTCTGCGGAGCACAGCTCTAGAGCCAGTATTAGCACCACTCCGGCTTGAGCCCGGTGAGCTCACCTACACGTTAGAGCGAAGCTGATATAGCCTCTCAAGGCTATCAGCATAGGTAGGAAAAAAAAAAAGAAAAAAGTTGATATTAAGTATCAATCTTTAATATTTTGTAGAATGTTGGACGATTTGAATACGGATCTTGAAAACACAGATTCTAAATTAGATTCCACTCTTAAAAAAGTCGCGAAGCTGCTTCACATGAACAATGGTAAGTTATCGAGACTTTGTACTATAAATGGATGTTTTTTACGTTTCATATATTTGTTTAGTCATTGAAGTACGCTACATTTTTATGATGAAACTATTTACCGATTAATCAGGTTGAGCGATGCTCCTACAAGCGAGGACGCGGTTTGTGGTTTATCTGTGCATTGTTTAAAGAACATTCTATTTAAAGAACAACCCTACTCTAATTTCTGTGAGAAAAATATCACTGAGTTTATTGTGAGAACTTCATTTTGTTCATTTACACGCAAGTAAAAAAATATGTAATTCTAAAATCGTTTTTTCCACCGGTTTGCTTTGTAGCTTGGTTACATTGCACAATATTTTCAAACATAGTCTGTACATGACGTTAATCTGCGCAGTCAGAAAAAATACACGTGACTGACGTCATATGGGCCAAAATGTAAATGTTAAGCTAGCCGTAGATCGAGCGGGAATTTATAACTATTGCCCACACATTAATGAAAACATTTGCTTATCATTGTTGTGATTTAAAGTAAAAATATTATTTGTAAGATCGTTTTAATTTGGTTAAAACCCCATAAAACGACTTTTTACATGGTTGCGTTACTGGTGTCATAAACAACAACAATAATAATGTTTCTTTTTTTTAATTCCAGACCGACGACAATGGTTCGCTATAATGATTCTTGTGGGACTAATATTTTTAGTTTTACTGTTATTTATAATTCTTTAAACAATATTGAATCAACAAATTAAGTTTGAGTAATTTTATTTATGTAGTTAAGTGAAAAATGTATTTTATTCTTGTATTAATCTATTTTATATTTACACACAGGCCTGCTTATTATGTGTTTATTTTTTAATGTGACAAGTTAATATGTATTTATTTCTTATTTTTAACTTATTTGTCTAATAAAAATTTAGATTTAAATTCCATTTGGATCAAACTGGACCATATCAATTGTCGTAATGGATGACAACCTTAACGGCACAGTGTGAAGCCGTTTTAGAATAATTTTAAAGTTGTGTGCTTTTTCCATGTAATTTTAATGAATATTTATTATGCAATTCTCGTACTTATCTTTATCAATTATTATTATTAAATTATTGTGTCACTTTTTGGTACCTATTTTAGGAGTTTTAATCAATACGGTTGTTCCATAAATATTGGTTTGCAGACCTGTGTTCTGTTCTAATATTTTTAAAAAGCATTATTAAAATCGTAAGTCAGCTAGATCATGTTTTGTTGCATATCGTTAAAAGATACGCCATTTTATAATTATAATAGGCAAATAGACAAAATTATTGTTATTACAGGGTTAAATGAGATAATAGTATTTTTGGGGTGAATATTCGATACAACGAACATGCCAAAATTATTGTAGAGAAACGAACAGACAACTGACCAAAGAAGTCGAAGTACGATACGTTTACAAGGTTGTACTATTTTGAAAATATTAATAAAAAAAAAATATTGAGTGTTAGATAAATCTTATCGGAATGCACATTTTGTATTAGTTGTCTTAACCCTGCAATAATTATATTTTACCGACTTCCGACAGAGATAATAGAATATATTAGTCAAAATATTAGATGTAGTATCTCGATTCTTAAAGGGATATGTTGGAAATGCCAATTAATTAAATTCTAAATGTCTTTCCATTATTATATAATTAATTAATGTAATTCTATTAGTTCCCAATGTAAAATACTTATCTCGGTAAATGTGAAAGTAAAGAAAGGTGTACATTTGATTTTAGTGCCTATTTGACCATAATCGGGGGTTATTTTATAATTATTTGACAATTATAAATGTATTTAGAAGTTTTTTTGGTAGAATAAATTCTTGCACGTCTTTTACAGTCATTGTATTATTACTTTTATTGTTGTTTTTTTGTTTTAATTAGCAAATAAATGTTCGATAAATGAAACGTTTTCATTTGTGTCACACTGCCCTTAGTTTGAGAATTGAACAGGTCACTTGCTTAAAATAAATAACTGATTAAATCAGCAATAATCTTATGTCCATACTTTGCTCTTTCTCCTGCAATTATATACCTACTACATTTACGAAAGTAACTACAGAAAAACAGTTATTTGCATGTAATTATGTATATGTATTTCCACGTTATTTTAAATATATTCAAGATCTAAAATAAGGTAGCAAAACTGCACCTAAAAATAAATAGGTAAGGACAAAATAGTTCAGTATCATTCTCTCTTCAGTTTGTAAACCTATTTTTTTATTTAGTAACTACGAGCTTTGAGGCTCTATCAATATATTTTTTAGACTCCCCTTTTTTTGAAACGTCACGAATATAATAAGAGCCTTAAATAACACGTTGGTTCGTAATAATAACTATGACAGATTTTTTTTAAATATCAGTTGGGAACCATAGGCTTTCATAGGCCTCAGCCGGTTTCCAGCAGTCAACGGCTGTGGGCTGATGGTGACGAATATTTTTTGCACAGCACGGAATGGAACAAAAAAAAAATTGTGCAAGAGGTCTTTAGTGAGCGCGTCGATTATCTGGATAGTTACAAGTCAAGCGGCCATCACTCAGAAATATACTATTCGTTTTTTATTTATTTATTTATTGATTTAAATGAACAGTGTGAACACAAAACCCTTTCATAATAGTATGAGTTCTTTTTTTCGGTGTGACAATTTAATTAATTAATTATATAATTAATATTATTATTAAATAGATAAATAAATGGCATTGCATTTTCTATTCGCTCGACGAGGAGTCCCCGTATATTTTGTCATACATTTCTGGAATGTAATCGTATTCTTCATTATTGATATCTTCATAGACTGACTTCTGTAGCATCGACCAATCTACACGAGTATCCATTTCAAATAAACTGAAAAAATAACAGTGTCTACTGAAAAGCAGAACAGGTGATTTAGGATTTATTTCCTTAGTCTATATTGAATTATTATGTGTATTGCCGCTTAGGTATACTGGATATTTGTATCGTACCTAGTTTTTATATCACTGAAAAAAAAAAATTGGTTTGCCAAACTATCCTTGTGATTAATAACCAAAATTTAATCTGTGAATGGTAACACCAAGCTTTGTACTTTTTTATGAGCTGAGTGACTGATTTATAGTGAACACAGATTAATGTGTAATTAATTACTAGCTGGATATCTCCAGCTCCATTAAAAAACTGTATATATTCATGTTATTAATTATCTGCAATAATCTCACATTAATTTAATGTATTTGACCATCTGAAAGTCGTTTGATTTTACCTGCTCACACACGACATGTATTTCTTAAGGTATGCACTGGATAATAAGTGCATGACGTTACTGAATCCTGTGCAGTTGGTCCATTGTGCGTCGGGGGCCATTAACATGGCGACCATTCGCCCTTTGCATATTAAAGGGGCACCATACATACCCTGACAAAAAATAAAACTCACATGTTGCCTTGTTTTAACTGCAATCTGTATTAGCAGTTTAAGCATTAGCATAAATTACCGACTAACTGTTCGATTTGCATAAGTGTAACAATAAAGGTTATTTATTATACTTTACCAACATTTTTTCATGTCTCATTTAAGCGTCCCCCTTCAATCTCGAAAATTGAAGAGGGGGACGACCGTTATGTAATAAAATTGAGACTTCAACCTCACGACTCAAGATGAGTAGCGATAGAGGATTCACGTTGTGATTATACCAATATCTAAATTCTGTAAAAAAGCAGCGATAGTCTGAAAGTTTACAAAAAAGTGTAATCATAAGACATGCTCGGGTGGAAAAATTGCTTGGTCACCGTTATGAATGATTACTATAAAATTAAAACTAAATAAACTTAATGACGGCCAAAAAAGATAAAGCCGTTAAGTCGAAACGCTTAAAATTAGAACTAAAGAGACAACCGCACTTCATGAAAGGGACAGTTGTGGTTCGGCCTGAAAATAGCATGTAAAAAGGTCGACATTGATGTTTCCTCTGTTAGTTCCTCCAAAACTGCGCATTTTTTTCGAATATAACCCGAGAAAGTTTTACTTTTTTTTTACATAAAATTTGTTTGGATTTAAAGGATTCTATGAATCAATCACATCCGGTGTATACATAAACAGATGTAAATTAATATCAGTTCGTAAATTAAATAATATAAATCTCGCTTAAAAAGTAAAAAAACTCGTTTTCATAGCAAATTCAACAACAAAAATTAAATTTTTTTTTTGCTATATCCTGAGCCTTAAATCATGAGCTTGGTCAAGCCAACTTTATAAAATTATGTTTAAGTTAATCAACCGTCTTGAATTTATATTTACCAAGTTAGCTTGAAACTTCATGACGTAGTTAAATAGACCATACAGGTCAAACTAATAAAAGCCTATTCAATATAGTTAATTTCGAACTCTTACGTGACACGGCTGAGCTGTTCTATCTGGCTAAAAAAGGAAAAACAAATTTTAGATACCAACTGATATTTTTCTATATAGTAAATGTATTGTATATTGATATATGTATATGAATTTAATTTTCCGTTACGAATTAGGTTAACGAGTGTTTAGATCGACAGTTTTTTTCAAATTTGAAAGAATACACTCTTAGCAAGCGGTCGTGGTCTGAAGGTTTAGGCGTCCGGTAGCATAGATCTACGCCGGTGTACAAATTACGTATACGATAAATATATATATATATATATTGCACTAATTTTAATTTCATTTTTTTAATTCAATAACAATAAAATAAAAATCATAAAAAATAAAAATATCTTACATCTCTAACGCAGATACACGCTGTCTTATCGAAGTATCCTAGGAAGCCCAAATTATTCAGAGCTTTTTGGAATTTGATTGTAAGCGTTTCACACCACTCGCTCTTCTTCACGATGTTCATGAACTGTACTCGTACATTCCTTTGTAAAAGGAATTTATGCGATGGATATATCTTGTCCTGAAATCAGAATACAACAATTATTTTCAATGAAACCCGAAAATTAAATGGAAATAAATTAGTTACAATAAATATTACGTCTTAATTTGTTCTCATAATGTTATCTACCACAGAGCAGAGGCGGGTTATCCGTAAGCCAAACTAGACACGTGCCTAGGGGCTTGTAGTTGCAAGGGGCGCGCGAGTTCAGAATTTTTAAATACATAAAGAAAATAACATATCGACGATTAAGAACTAAATGCCTAAACTAAATGTCCTGGTCTACTAAAGTCTACGGTTTGATGATACAACGTCATCATAATTGCAAAATAAAATTTATATTATTATTATGGCCATTTATGGCCTGTACAGGGGCGCCGATAAAGTGATTGCCTAGGGGGCTCTGGACCTTTAATCCGCCACTGCCACAGAGACAAATACTAACGTTTTTTACTCCGTAATATTCATGAAAAATATGTTAACGAGAATAATATTAACAGAATACTTTATTTCTAAATTATATATTCCATCTCATTCTAATTCTGGATTAAAGTAGTCCCAGGATTGATGGTGCTTTGTTCTGTTTAGGAATAAATTATAGATTACCTTCAAGATTCCTCAAAGCGGGCTTTTTGTGCTGATTTGCATTTTACTTCAAAATCAATTGCAATGGACTTAATTTCGTAACGTTTTCTCCTAGTATACCATTAGTAGCGGATATATTGTTTATTTATTGAACTATCGAGGAATTTACGTGAGTCTATTTCCGTTGCACGATTAGATATCGGGCAGAAAATCGTCAATATGAATTAAACCATGTGAGCATAAGATGATATTTGCTAATTAAGATGTCCAGAATGAACTCAGGGCCCACTGATGACCGGT